TGTGCTGGCTCCAACGCTGGTGCCCCACTGATGCGGCTGGGGTGGAAGACCCGGGGAAAGGGGCCCTGACCTGTGCTGGTTCCAACGTTGGTGTCTCCGCTGATGTGGCTGGGGTGGAGAGCGACCCGGGGAAGGGGGCCCTGACCTGTGCTGGTTCCAACGCTGGTGTCTCCGCTGATGTGGCTGGGGTGGAGAGCGACCCGGGGAAGAGGGCCCTGACCTGTGCTAACTCTAACGCTGGTGCCTCCGCTGATGCGGCTGGGGTGGAAGACCCGGGGAAAGGGGCCCTGACCTGAGCTGGTTCCGACGCTGGGGCCTATGCTGATGTCGCCGGGGCCGCGTGGGGACCCAGGTTGGAGGTCTTATGCCCTGCGCTGGCGCCGCTGCAAGTGCCACCCGGGCGCCGCCGGGGTGAAGGGACGACCGGGGTAGCCCATGATCTGTGCTGGTGCCGCCCTCGGGGTCGCCGGGGTGGACGACCCAGGAAGCCCATCGCCTGTGCTGGTGCCGACCCCGGTGCTGCCGAGGTGAAGGGACGACCCAGAAAACCCATGACCTGTGCTGGTGTCGCTCCCGGTGCCGCCAGGGTGCAGGGGCGAGGCAGAAAGCCCATGACCAGTGCTGGTGTCGCTCCCGGTGCCGCCAGGGTGCAGGGGCGAGGCAGAAAGCCCATGGCCTGTGCTGGTGTCGCTCCCGGTGCCGCCAGGGTGCAGGGGCGAGGCAGAAAGCCCATGACCAGTGCTGGTGTCGCTCCCGGTGCCGCCAGGGTGCAGGGGCGAGGCAGAAAGCCCATGGCCTGTGCTGGTGTCGCTCCCGGTGCCGCCAGGGTGCAGGGGCGAGGCAGAAAGCCCATGACCAGTGCTGGTGTCGCTCCCGGTGCCGCCAGGGTGCAGGGGCGAGGCAGAAAGCCCATGGCCTGTGCTGGTGTCGCTCCCGGTGCCGCCAGGGTGCAGGGGCGAGGCAGAAAGCCCATGACCAGTGCTGGTGTCGCTCCCGGTGCCGCCAGGGTGCAGGGGCGAGGCAGAAAGCCCATGACCTGTGTTGGTGTCGCTCCCGGTGCCGCCAGGGTGCAGGGGCAAGGCAGAAAGCCCATGACCTGTGTTGGTGTCGCTCCCGGTGCCGCCAGGGTGCAGGGGCGAGGCAGAAAGCCCATGACCAGTGCTGGTGTCGCTCCCGGTGCCGCCAGGGTGCAGGGGCGAGGCAGAAAGCCCATGACCAGTGCTGGTGTCGCTCCCGGTGCCGCCAGGGTGCAGGGGCAAGGCAGAAAGCCCATGACCTGTGTTGGTGTCGCTCCCGGTGCCGCCAGGGTGCAGGGGCGAGGCAGAAAGCCCATGGCCTGTGCTGGTGTCGCTCCCGGTGCCGCCAGGGTGCAGGGGCGAGGCAGAAAGCCCATGGCCTGTGCTGGTGTCGCTCCCGGTGCCGCCAGGGTGCAGGGGCGAGGCAGAAAGCCCATGGCCTGTGCTGGTGTCGCTCCCGGTGCCGCCAGGGTGCAGGGGCGAGGCAGAAAGCCCATGACCTGTGCTGGTGTCGCTCCCGGTGCCGCCAGGGTGCAGGGGCGAGGCAGAAAGCCCATGACCTGTGTTGGTGTCGCTCCCGGTGCCGCCAGGGTGCAGGGGCGAGGCAGAAAGCCCATGGCCTGTGCTGGTGTCGCTCCCGGTGCCGCCAGGGTGCAGGGGCGAGGCAGAAAGCCCATGACCTGTGCTGGTGTCGCTCCCGGTGCCGCCAGGGTGCAATGGCGACCCAGGACGGGGGAGCCGTGACCTATGCTGGCGCCGCTCGGGGATGGAACGGCTCTGTTGTCGGCGCTGAGATGAGCTGGTGTTACCGACCAAACCGGACGAGTCTGATCTGACAATAAGCGAAAAGTACAAAAGGGTGGCATACTCCCTTTAACGTGAGGACAAACCCGACCGTTGGCGTCATGTATAAATTAATAATTAATAACCAAAGCGGAATTATTCGCTTTGCAAACCATTTCTGACGAGCTTTATTTCATTGCTGCTGGCATAGATCTGTGAACTCGGTGGTAAAAGTCTCGCTGTCACGGATTAACTTTCGCATCGGAACAGCATAATTTTTATTTCATTACTCGACAGAATTTTTTAGACGAGACGTTAGCACTAAGGAGATGATTATGAGAAAAACTGTGACCGTGAACCGTGCGATTATTTCCCGCATTTTGTCCATTGTTTCTCCGGCCGCCGTCAAGGTGGGACTATAGACCGTCAAGACCGGTGAGGTTCACCGTAATGGGACCATACATCGGCATTCGCGGTATACCGTATGTGCTACGTAACCATACTCTTGTGACCACCAGCCTCGGTCGGCTTGGTTTTGCCGCATTTTCCCTCCGTAACGTGACGTCATAGTGACGCATGGCGGTGTGACTGTCCGCGATCTTTCCACACCTTACTGCCACATTGCACCTGTCACTTCTTCGCAAACCTTGTGTTTATGGCACTTAAAATATGTTGGCAACTGAAGGAGTGTGTTTGCGATCATGCACCTAATTGACAGAGACTAGATGTTCGGACGGTATTATCTCTTTTTTATTGCTGTAGCTCAGCAAATAGCGGCATTAGCTTGGCGAGCTAACCGATGTTTGCTTCAGGCGTGTGCTCTTTACCTGCTTGGGATACCGGCATTATCAGTTAGTTTTCGCGGTAATGTATCAAAATCAGCCTTCGGTGGACAAAACATCCAATTAAAAGCACTTTCGACTAAGCCATTGATATAATGCTTTCCACGCTAGTATGCGCCTTTCTTGTCGTTCTCCGCGGCGTGGTCCGCAGTGCCAATGACCGCTTCCATCCTCCCCCCGCGGTCCGCTACACGGCGGGTGGCGACACCCCTCCCTTCCCACCGTGCCGTGCCGTGGCGCTGGCGGCGGCGGGGCGGCAGTCCGGCCCGCTGCCCTGGGCGTGGCCCGCCCCGCCGGCCGGGGGACGCCGAGGGAGGGGCAGCCAGTTCCGGGAGCGCGCCACTTGAACCGGGATCAATCATCGGCCGCCCAGTGACGGCCGACTGCGCGCGCTAATGCTTGGCGCCGGGGCCGCGGCCGCGGGCGGTTCGGCCGGCGCGGCACGGGTCACGGCCACGGAATGTGATAGGTGTCGCTGGGTGAGGGCTGCGTCGCTGAGGAACGGTGTGGTGCCTGGTGCGCGCGGTCCGGACGCGGAAGTGTCGAGAGCTTGCGGGCTGGCGGCGACATTTTTGTCTTTCTCGGTAGCACGTGACCCGAACAGGAGTTATACAGATGAACTGAAAAATAGGCATGGTGCTTGCACCACAAAATGCTTATTTGTCAAGAATGTCAGCCCATTAATGGACAAGTAAGGACAGCATGGTAGCACCGACGACAGGAGAGCGTGTGGATCGAATGACAAATGACGCACCGAGCGCAGCCACATGAATGTGACATGATCCATGATAACGTTGTTTCTATAAGGCTTGGTAATGAAGGGTCACTAATTTCCTGAATTATTCTGAAACATGCACCAATAAGACAGCAGGAACATAGCCAGAACAAACTCCCAGAGGGGGGGGGGGGACAGCGTCCCGACAAGAGGGCAAGAGAGCAGAGGGTTTCAAAGCGACCCATTTTTTCCCGGCTGAGACAGTCATACCATTCACCTGTTTTTCTTCAAATGAGTTGCAAATCTCAACACAAAAAAGGCTTTATTGAACCTTCTTGACACCCACGCCCAACTAGAGGTTACACGGAACGTAGCTGGGCTGCATGTCAAATTTCAGGGGATGCCCGGGCACCCAGCGGACCCGCCTGGTTACGGGCCGGACGGCGCGCAGACGTCGATAACGCTCCACTATTCAGAGCATTATAGTCACGTGACGTTATCTCTTATTTTTGCCCAACGTTGGCCAAACAGCTCAAACGCAAAAACAAAAGGTATCACTCGGAACATTATAACATACCTGGGGAGAAAACGGGAGGGCCTGCCAGCAACAGCATGAGCACAACAGTGAGGTATCGGCACATGAGTACACCAACGCCTCTAGAGGCACTGCGAGCAATACAGATCAAACGTCCGTGACGCGTCAATCGTGTCTTTTTACATCGGACCCAAACCATGTGATGAAACATTTTGTTTTCAGACCGTCTTTGACATGGACTACCATGCCAGCATCTCACACCAATCTAGCAGCCTTTACAAAACGAAAATGAACGTAGCTCAAAAATGGGGGAAGGCTTTTTTGAATACTTATTATTTATGACGGGTTTACACTCCATTCGAAGATAGCAGCCTACTATCTGTCATCTATGGCATTGACAACGGCAGGCATGTAACACAAACATAAAAAATTGAATAAATAGCACGTATTAAAGCGCATCTTCCCAGCCTGGTGCTGTTGGTTCGTTTCGTTTCTATGGCCGCCTCCACGGCGCTGGGCATTGGGAGGCTACACGCCATGAACCGCATCGAGACGACGGGCACGCCGATCCGAGCCGATATTTGAAACTATTGTCAGCATAGGCATGGGTATAGTTACCTCTCCGGAAACCTGCGAACGGCGCTACCAAAATCGTCTTAGCGAGAAGAAACTCCATACCTGACATCCATACTGGAAACTTTGCATCGCTCGATGGTTGGGTCTTCCAACGTGCACGCATTATCTCAACGCACGCGAGGGCGGACTCCATGCACGTGTGATTTTGACGGCGATTATGTGAGAATCGCTGGGCACCCGCATTGGGAAGAGCGACTATCGCGTCGAGCAACAGGGTACCAGCGACTCAAATATGGCGGCACTTTCCTTTCGTTGGCCGACGCCCGCCGCCTATCTTGCCCGAACACGTTCCAGCAGTCCTCTGTCTACTCTGGCGGATGGTGATCTGACATGACTGGGCCGGTGCCGGGTCCATAGAGCGCCAGGTCACACTAAATATCAATCGACGCCGCAGCGGTGTCAATTCCTTCTCCGAACTTAGAGTGCGGGGTTTATTTAAACCCATGCCAGCGGTACGACGCAACGTTGGGCAGACCTCGATTCCGTGCAGAATGGCCCGGTTCCGCTGCCGTCGGCGAAGGAGATGTACCGTTCAGTGGGATACGGGAAGCCGAAAGTACATCTATTTTGAGGGGAAAAGATATGGTTGCGTTGCAGCTGGCACAAACACGACGTGAATATGCGGCTATCTACATTCATATCTCAGCCGAATCATTGATAATCCAATAAACCCCGGCCCCGATGCACAAATCTAAAGCAATCATTTGCAGCGACAACCAAAATGTGGTCGACTTCGGTTTCAGATGGAGCCATATACAAGTGAGCACGCAAGTGATGTTGAGCCCCGCATGAGCCCCTGCATCCTTGATGTGGCCTCTGATCTGTAGTGGCATAAGGCACTGCAGTGCACCAAGTCTATACGATCATTTACAGCGCCAGCGGATGTACGGCGCGGCGCACGACCGCCCGGCCTCCGGACATCGGGCGAGGACACGGCCTCGTCTATTACACACGTCACACGTCATACGTCGTACGTCATAAGTCAATGGCCCGACACAGGTTGATCGGACATATATTTCATTAGTCAGCAGGGAACACTGCTGTTGCAAATTACGGTACCACACATTCCATCATTAAGTACATGGCTTCAGCGGCACGTGTCAAAACGTAGATCACAATTACGTAACACGTCACACATTTTCGACATCACACCAGCAGCCATTGCGCGCCTGCTTTTCAATCCGTTTTGAGTCAGCGCCTTCCTGTCACACACCACTCCACACACCGTCGGACGTCTAGCAGCCGGGAGGTATCCTGTGGAACAAACCGGGGAATATGTCAGGGAGAAAACGGTAGGCCCGCCAGTGAGCATTGTTTTCCTGATATAAAAACAACGCAAGATGGAGTGGGACGCAAAACAAACACATCGACACACTTCAGCACAGTGGGGCTGCCGGGACGAACAAGCTCGCAGATTACGATGACAGGGTGCATTTATCAGTCGTAACGAAATAACACGAGGCAAGCAGGAGCGCTGGCATTCATTGCTTTACCTTTATTAATCAGCTGACGTGGTGAGGTAAGCGACCGTGCCTAACCTCCGTGGTATATCACAGCAAACACATAATAACCAGATACATAAAAACTGGATACCACCCTACACTCCCTATAGATAGGACGAAGTCATTTTGAAATCGCACTGTACAGAAATCTACGCCTCTCAAAACACTGAACGTGGGCTGAATCATGGCAACTGGTGCACACGGCCCGGTCCACCGGCAGGACGCCACCGCCTCACGTCAGCCGTTCCTTACGTCTGGAAGCCATCCAGCGCGTGCGTGAGCTTGTTGCGGACCAGGAAGGTGGCGACTATGCCGGCAACCCGGTCCGGCACGTCCTCGTGCACGGCGTGACCAGAGCGGGGCACCACCTGGATCTGGAACTTGCCTGCAATCCGGCGATACAGTGTAAACGCCGGATATGCCAAAATATGGAGCTGCCTGGCGAGACGGAGCGTCATCTAGCGCCGATGTCTCTAGATTGAGGTTCTACATTAGTCCAGAGATGGCGCCATAGTGGGACGAAGTGCATGCGATTCCAAAGCATGTCGCAACACGCTTAACCATCGTCGCTACGTCCAGTCTACATACCGATGGAGAGGAAGCCGGAGGCACATATGAGTGCGTCTCACATTCAGCATTAAAGAACTATGAGCCGCGAACAGTGTCAGGAATGGGGGAGACATAATACTATCTATCAGCCACAACACAAGCCATCAGCCGCAGTCACGTGACCAAACCGACACGGCTTTCCAACCCTTGAATCACAACATGGGCGCCCCGCAACAGCACATCTGTCACCGCCCGGCACCGCGCACGGCCGCCGCCTGGAGTCGACCCCGGCGCCCGCCCGACTGACCCTGCATCTGGCCGACGGAGAGCTCGCGGTCGAGCCGATCTATGCCGGCCAGCAGGAGCACTTTGGGAGGCGGCGCGGACAGGAAGAGGCCGGACAGGCCACGGAACCAGCCCTGCCAGTGCGGCTCCGTCGACGCCAGGTCGATCCGCCAGGTGTAGGACTGCGGACAGGGCAGCGCCGTCGATGCTGGCTGGGGCACCTGCTGACGTCCCTGGTCCCAGACGAGGGCGCACCCGCAAGAGAAGGCGAGGTCGAGACATGTCGGCTACATGCGGCAGATGTGATGGCTGGAGGCGCCGTGCTCAAAACGACGGGTGTAGACTGCACGCACAAGCGCGTTAGGAGTTCTTCCCATATTGTGTGTGTGTGAGAATCGCCCAAAGCCTTAAAGGTGGAAGCCACGTCGGTGCTCAACAATTTCACGTGGGCCAAGCCTAGCTGCTCGATCTAAAATTACTACATTAATCCATACGAGTTTAATAATGGCGAGCTATTCATATTAATAGCAAAAATGACTTCTTCAATTAGGAACTTCATAAGTGTGCAGAGGGGGAGTTTCATTGGAAAACCATGAATCCCCAGCGAAGGAAGCGGACAGTATCAGACCCACACCCGACCAAATCACGACAGGGGGGGGGGGGGGGCGGGGGGTATAGCTGCAGGCCAGCTGCTCCGTCGAAGAGCGCTCGGCACGCGCCGCCCGGCCGTGCCCCTCACCTGGGCGGCCGTGGGCGGCGGGCTCGGCTGCGGTGCGGCGGGAGTCTCCTGCTCGTCCTCGTCCTCCTCCTCCTCGGGGATGGAGCCGGCCGGCCGGGCGGCGGCGGCGGCGCTGGCCGGCGGCGAGGTCGGACTGCCGCTGGTCAGGCCGGCCGCCAGGTCACGGGTGGCCGGCGCGTCCGTCTTCACGCTGCCCGGTCAGGGCCACACGTCAGGCGGACGGACGTGGCTTACCGCTCCGCACCGGGCCGGGCCAAGCGAGTCCCCACACAGGCAGCCTCTCACGTTCACCAAGCGCCGCTGAGAGGTGGGTGCAGCGGCGTTGTATTGTGGCGTATTTAAACGTTGTGTGTGTGTCATTGGGGCTTTGCGACGCACCCAGCTGCTAAGGCTATATGGCGTCGCCTGCCTCTCACCCTGGCAGGAAGGGCGGGCACCGCGGGGAATCGAATCCCGTACCTCTGGTTTCCCAGATGCGCGGTGGTTAACGCAGACGCGTTAACCACTACACTATCGGCATCCCGTATTTCAACGTTGATTGTGCGTGAAAATCGTGAGCATGTATGAAAAGGAACGCAAGGGAACGAACACGAGGGCATGTTGCCCAGGAAAAATGACAACTGCTTACTTTTTTAGTTGTCCCGGCACGGAAACGCGCGCCGATTCTGCATTCCTGACAGCTCCGGACTTCACGCTGAAACACACCATGGTAGCCTGCAGCGCCGATTAATGCTGCCAAACCGACAGCGAAGTAACGCAATGATGAGACAGAACAATAAAACCCAACGAAAGCGACATAAATGCACAGCAGCCAAGCAAAGACCCGTTACGGTTTTGCAGGTCTTCTTCGCGCTCGTCACGTGACACCCCCGCCTCCATACTGCCTCGACACTATCTAGTATCGATCATCACGCGTCTGGCCTATCGAGTGGACAGACCAAACCGCGCCGCGCTCCACTGACCACCACTCGATGCCGTGCTGGACGGAGGCGAAGCGCTCGGGCCGGCCACGCAGGAAGGTGTGCATGGCGCCGAGCGCGTCGACGGCCGTGCCCTCGACCACGTCGATGACGACGAGGCCGACGAGCGGGCCGCAGCACCAGGCGTGGGCCGCGTGCACGGCCAGCGCGCCGCCCAGGCTGTGGCCGACCAGGACGGCCGGCGGCGCGGCCGGCCCGTACACGGCCGATACCACCGACGTCAGGTCACTGCGCGGTGGCGGGGGACGGGGAGGTGGTCAGGGGTCAAGGCACAGCGAAGGAGAGTATCCGGGGAGACCCGTCTTTGGAGCGAGAGGCACTGGGAATGCTCGGTTCAAAACGGCATCTGTCGATAAAGTCACTGAACCTACGGCCGTCACCGCAACCACGGTGCCGCAGAATCGCAAGCTCTTGGACGAGATAACTTCCACTGAAAGGTCATAACAGGGCCAACATTTACGCCAATGACAGGATAGCTTAACACCATACACTTGTGCACTGGAGCGTAGCAGCACGCTCGGCATCCCTCCTCACTGATGGGCGCTACATGACCGCGCGGCCGAAGCTCCCTAAAGCCTCAACTACCAGTACTGCCCTCCTCACTGCGCTCCAGCACCGACCCTCCCCACCGCCGGCCTGTCTGGAGCGCACGCCGCCGGCTCGACCCTCACCTGACCAGCCGCTCCATGGACAGGTCCTTCTCGTCGGCGGAGGCCGTCTCGCCGTGACCGCGCATGTCCACGGCCAGCACCTGGCAGTCCACACTCTGCACTATCCGCTCCTGAAAGGCGCCCGTGAGGTGGATCGCGCGCGAGACGTCCGGCACACGCGGCTGTTCGCTGATGTGGAGGGAAGAGCCAACAGGTGGGCCCACAACAGGCATGGTTCAAAGTGATCAGTGAACACGAAGGTATGCTGGACTTTCGGCGAATACCAGTGACGACCGGAAAAGGCCCATAGTACTTCCATCCGCAGTTCGGCAGAGTTCAGCCACCTGAGTGCCAAAGACGCGGATACTTTTTCATGTTATTACACACGTGTCTTGGGTCAAATCAGGTCGACCAATCACGCAGCGAGTCGGATGATGGCTAACCCAGCATCTATGCGCCCCGGGCAACGCAGATCGGGAGGCCATATCTGGATATGAGCGTTCAGAGTCAAAGGACAGTAGTGTGTGGTGCGGACGTGGGCGTGTTGTTGCGGTGGTGGTGTGGGGGAGAGGGGGGGGGGAGACAGCGGGGGGTGACCGAGTTCTAGTGTCATTAATTCGTATTTATCCGCCTGGCATCATGCTGAACAAATTTTGCCACAATGTCTGTCAGTTCCCGAACAAATAAGTGACACCCTGCACCTTAACAAATGGCCATGATGTCCAAATGAGTCAAACAGAACTCACGACGAGACTCTCATGCTGAATGGCAAGGTCAATGAAAGTCGGTGGTTACAGACCCGTGATGCTCACCAAGGCTCACTGGTGAGTTCATCAGGATTCTGGTGATGAGGTTGACCAAGAAGAGTTTGAATAAAGAATAGGTACATTGTCAGAAAAAACATGACAGGCAGCACCAGAAACAATCATAAGGTAAGGAACACTAAAAGCTCATGTAAACTGACACCAAAAGTGTCTACTGTGCTCACAGGGCAGTAATGCAACAATTTGAGACTTCTACGCAAATGATAGAGCCAAAATGTCTGCCAAGCTGTCAGTCACTGACCGTGAAGAGCGCCCAGGTGAGCCCACTGAAGCCGCCGCCGTGCAAGAGCACGAGCAGCGGCCCGGAGGAGCCAGACCGGTACACATGGAACACGTCTCCTCCATCCAGCTGGACATCTTCAGCAGAGCTGAAATACCGCTGCCAGGTGGTCGGTGTCAGGTCCCGCCTACGCCTGCTGACAGGGGATGGGATGAAGTACCACTACCAGGCAGTCAGTGGCAGGTCCTGCCAATGCTTGCTGACAAGGGATGGGATGAAGTACTGCTGCGAGATGGTCGGTGTCAGGCCCTGCCAGCATCTGATGATGAGGGATGGGATGAAGCACTGCTGCCAGGTGGTCGGTGTCAGGTCTGGCCGACACCTGCCGATGGGATGGAATGAAGCACCGCTGCCATGTGGTCAGTGTCAGGTCCTCCCAACGTCTGCCGACAGGGGATGGGATGAGGTACCACTACCAGGTGGTCGCTGTCAGGTTCTGTCAACACCCACTGACAGGGGATGGGATGACACACTGCTACCAGGTGGTCAGTCATGTCTCAATGACATCTGCTGATGGAAGATGGGAGTCAGCACAGGACATAGATCCAGACATAGCTGAGCCCAACTTACCAAATACCTTACAAGGTTACTCACAGGCTAGATTATTTACCCACATGATGAGATACAGCCCACTATGTAAAAGGCTTGGAGATGTGAGTTCCTGCAAGAAGAGCTCCTTGATAAATGATGATAATCCTGATCATGTTATACTGAAAGGTGAAACCAGCAATGGTTAAAGTATTCTTAAAAACACTGTGAAGTGCATGGTACAATACATGACATAAAAAAGAGCATTGAACAAATGGGTATAACATTACATACTGACCATCAAGCAGATTACATGGCGGCCCATGACACAATGTTGAACATCTGTGTACTTAATTTGGAGTGAAGAGGCCCTTAATCTGAGGTTCTTGACCATCCACGATAATTTATCCAAACAGTCAAGCTGCACATCCAAACCTAGAGCAAAAAAGATGGAGCTATTCAAATGACCACCTTTTGACCTATCCTTTTGACCACCTATTCATATTAAATAACTATTTTTAGCATACTGCCCAACCTTTATTTTCACAGCAGCTCTCCAATGCTAATACTGAATTAATCAACTGCCCAAAATCAGAATGATAATTAGTTATCCATAAGAATAAAAAAGGCTTGCTGAGACATGCTACTCAGCAAATCAAGGCATCTACCTGACATGGGCATGTGTGGTACAGAGGTGGGGCAACAACAGGATCAACAACAGGATCAACAGGATCAGCAACAGGATCAGCAGAACAGGCAACAACAGGATCAGCAGAACCCTGGTGATCCTGCTGCTGCCACTTTGTGTAGCCTGGGTTTGGGCCATGCATGACATAAAGTAACATCACGCTGTGGTCATCTATCTGAACATGGATCTTTCAAACTTTCAGCCATGTTGCAGCATGTTGTTTCAAGATTTTGCCAAGACTTATACCCATTGTCCCAAAAATAATGATATATATATATATATGTAGAGAGAGATAAGACTATATATGTGTGTTTATCTCTGTGTTAAACCACTCATGGCATTCCTCACACCTGGGTATGGGATGCACACTATCATCGCACACACAGACACACACAAAAATTAACATACCTGCCAGCAGAAGCTCCTGGTACATTTCCCATAGGTGGAAGAGGACACTTCATTTTTAGTGCTTGCTTTTGGAGAGATGACATTGTCACAGTGCCAGACTTAGACCTGAAAAAACATGGTTATACTTAGGCATGTGACCTTCACATTTTCTGTGGAACGTTGGGGGGGGGGGTTGCAATGTAACAATGCAGTTTTGCTCCAAGCTATGCATAACAAAAGCCTCTGATCTAGTTTGTGAAGAGCTTGACTACACTAACCTAATTTTGCAGTTGTCAAGCCACCTGTCGGACATGTAGCTATGTGTCCAAGTGACTTAGGGACGTAGAGATTACCATCTTAAACCAACACCTTTAAGGCCTCCAACACTAGGGTCACAGGGCAGGCGCAAAACAGCAGGGCCGGGCAACCCCCCACCTCTCGCCGATGCCTCATCCAGTACCCGATCCGGACGCGTACCTCAAAATGACCAATGCGCGCACGCTTCAATTTCTGCACCCAATAGCCCTAGGGCAATATCGTTCTGTCAATATCACGGCTAACCGGCGTTGACCTTCGACCAAAACAATCGCGGGGCCCCAGCACGTTCCCGGGATGTTGTTAAGGTTGGGTATTTTCGAAAAGTACACAGGGTGTTGGGAATGTGCCCGCTGTGTTCAATGGACCGGGTGCAAGGACCGGTAATTGGGCTAGATAGGCAGCACAGTATGCTTGTTTGATGATATTTAAATACACATTTACATATATTGCATTAAGGATGGTCAAAATTTTTGGTAAGGTGAAACGATGGCGAATAATGTAAAACGCATGTGATAAAGGCAGCAGCAAAAAACAGATCGAAGACTAGAACTAATGCAAAACATTGGCAGAAAATTGTTAACTTGATCGCATGTTTCTGCAACGAGACAGCATATCCTTGGCTCTAATAGCTTAAAGTGCAAGAAACAAAAATAGCTGATGGTCACGTCGACGGAGAAACGTACTATGAGTATGTAGCCGTTTCATCTATTTATATTTTCAGTCGTTGTTTAACTGGCAATATAAATATTTCCTTAATGGGGTACGTGACGTGCAGCCTTTGTAGAAATGCAATATCCTAATTTTGATGTGAATTGATTCGTATTAATACCACTGGTTTAAACATAAGACAGGATGCACAGAGGTAAGTCTTTAATGCACCTCTAGCAAATTTTGGCAGTATTAGAGTAGATACCAAATGACGAAAACGACGCAAGACCGGCATCAGCATGCGCAACGATTTCCGGCGCGTCGCGACGGTATGGCGATGGAGAAGCGGTTGCGCTGTGTGTCGTAAGATTGATATATATCTAACACTTCAGTGGACGGAGGGAACACAAAGTATGATTTAAGCCACCTGAGTTTAGCACGTTTTAAGGGCGTTACAGTGTTGAATATTGTCTCGAGTGCACGATCACCGGAAAAACACCAGTGTGAGTTGGAAACATTTTCCTAATTTCCGTGCTCTGTTGGTCTAAGTGGGCATGATCGTCATTGGGCAACCAGCAGGACTGAGAGAGCTTGGAATCGAATCAGGGGCATGATTATTTCAGCATTTTTCAGACACTTGTTTTCTGCCATGTTTAGGCTGATATTTGTGTAAGGTAACTCAAGCACAATCCATGCCCATGCCAGACTGCTAAACAGTTATGTCATTTCCAACAAAATTTCATGTGTCAGTTTTCATTTAGATTTCATTTCATCAGTCAACAGAATTGCATGGTAGGTACACCATAAAGGTGGATTACTGGAGTTTGGTTCAGTCACCATCAATTTCGCCACACAAATAATCTCTGGGCATTGTTATATTGCAAAGGGAATTTCAGATGTAGTGCTGTGAAAATAGTTTTGCACCCTGAATAATTCAAACATAAAAGGAATGTTTCACATTTGCAGATGTTGAAGCAAGCATCAGACATCATGAAACTAACTTATAATTATTGGTGTACTTGTAAACACAAAAGACTGCTTTAGACAACATTATTTCTCTGTTGAGTACATATGTTCATTGATGCATCATTGTTTGACTGAGCCATCTTACCTTGCATAAAGTTGTTTGTGAGTCAATTAATGGGCATCATATCTGGTGTCCAAAACACAAGATATGAATGATTTGACCATTGTTTTGTTCTTGGCCTTGATCATGGCTCATGGAATGGTAGGATTTCAATCATTTTATTTTGATGTCATGCCTACTAAGGTGTCCTTAAACTGCTCTCCCTGAAATAGTCCCACCATCTTCACAGATGTGGAGCTCAGAAATGAGAGGGATTTAGGTCTTTAGAAAGGCAGGTCTGTAGACTGAACCCAAAGATTTTCAAGATGGCTATTTTAGTTCATAATCTTATAGAAATGTGGAACATCCCTATAAACACATTTTTGCTAGCCTGAGTTTGGTGCATATGAGAGCAAAGTGTAGCAGAAGGATGACATGTAGGCATGCTGTGTAGTGGATACATTTTCTTACCTAAACTTCATGTGCATGTAGGTACAGTTTGATACATGAGGAGGGTGTAATACTGAGATCACTGTTTTAGTGAATGAACAGCGCATTCTTTGACCATACATGTATATCCTCCCAAATGGATGTTGGTTACAAATCATCACTGCACTGAAAAATGGAGTGTGGCTAGGCACTAGACTCCAAAATGCTCCAAATAGAGGCTGGCTACATATGAGACTTACACACCCTCCGAAACTCCTGGCCCACCCAGCCACTGCATTGCTCCAGCTTTATGCCATTGTGGTACCAATTTACATGGGCATTGCCCACATACTTGCAAATACTGTTTCTTTTTCCAATTGGCAGATGCCTTTGCAAGCAGAATCATGGTAGTACATTATATATTGATACATTGTCTATTTCAAGCTTTACCTATGTCTGAGAGCAAGAAGTGCAAAGTAAGCATTGACTACCTCAAATGAGCATTACTCTGTGCACAACTTGGTATTGTCATATGTTGGGGAAATGAAAAGGTGAAATTGCTAGCTGATGAATGAAATTTGCATGCAACATGTTTAATATGAATGCAATATGATAGATTTTTGTCAAGGGCAAACACCTGATAATGTGGTTCCAACATGGTTCAGCTTTAAACTGAAAGCCTTTGGTCTGGGAGGCCTCATCTCATCACACCAGGTCAAGGGGCAAAGTCATCAACCACCATGCTGCTGCATTGGAGAGCTGTTGCAGCCTGCTATGCAAGTCAACTTTCATGCCATAAGCCATGCAATGTTGGTGATCACAGAAAAAATGACAGTTTAGCCCAGCATTATTGATCATGGGTTCTGATTTGATCATGAGCTGTCCTGCCCAGTTACATGGCCTTGGTTGTGTGGACTGGATCCCCGGTGTGGGTGGTGTTTGGGCCAGTTGTGCACACTCAGTACCCTCCAAGACTATAAGTGTGCATAAGCTGGGTGTGTACAATGATCCCCAATATTTTGGGGGAGATGTAGGCCTGGTGTACACCCAGCTTCCATTTTGAAGAGTGCATAAGCCTGGTGTGTAATCACCCTCTGTTTAGGAAGCTATATGCTCAGCCTATTTTTTTTCTAGATCTGTGTACCTTATAAGTGAATGGTGGAACAGCAACTGTTACAAGATATTGCTGGTTAAGGCAATCATGTGATACTTGATGGTGTCTGCAGTTTTTCATGTGTGTGGTATCACCTCAGGGTATTGCTTTCTGCAGTGTTTCATGTGTGTTATAAGCAAAAAGCAAAAATGTTGTTGATAAGCAAAAATGTTGTTGGGCTCAGGGTATTGTCTTCCACAGCCTTTGATGTGTGTGTGTGTGGGCGTGTGTGTGGTGTGTGTGTGTGCGTGCGTGCGTGCGTGCGTGCGTGCGTGCGTGCGTGCGTGCGTGCGTGCGTGCGTGCGTGTGTGTGTGCGTGTGTGTGTGTGTGTGCATGTTATAGAGTGGCAAGTGCTGGTGCTGAGCAATGTCCACAACATGATGTGACCTGCCTGTGTGAAACAGAGGGGCACAGAATGACTGCTGGCATCAGCAGGCAGGTCAACCACAGTCGCCATCAGCCAATTACAGAGCACTCCAAACACGACATAAGACGCCTCTGTTGCGACGTGAAACACAGGTGGTCTTGTTTACAATAATGTATGCTGGGTAGCAGTATCAAAAGGGTGGTGTGGGACAGTCCCAAGGAATTTTGCCCATATGAACCTTTGCCTCTCCTTGTCCCAAGAATGCAACTTCCTTCATCGACTCACCCCAGCCTGGCCACCACTGCCACCACCACCATCACCATCGTCCCGACGCTGCCGCAGGCGGCGATGGAGGCGGTGGCGGCCGAGGAGTTCGTGCGCCGGCTGCGCGGTCTCATCGAGCCGGACGCGCAGCTGCAGCGGGCCGGCCTCGCCTACCTGGACGGCCTCAAGGCGTCCGACGACGGCTGGCGGCTGTGCGTGGACGCGCTGCTCTCGCCGGCGCTCGACGCCGAGGAGCACGTGCAGTTCTACTGCCTGCAGGCGGTGGAGCACTTCGTCAAGACGCGCTACCCGGCCGAGGCCGACGGCGCGGCGCCCGCCGTGCGGCTCTTCATCAGCGGCTGGGTGCAGCGCCAGGTGTGTGGCAGCGGGGAAGGGCGGGGTGCTGGGGTCGCAGACCTCGGCCGCTGCTTGTGATCAGCGCTGCTGGGGTTGGCTTGGTCTCTTGCGGGACGCGAGCCGCGGCTGCCTTTATAGGGTGCGTGTCTGGTGGTCTTGCGCGCATTGTTGTCCTGCTGATCTTCATGTCGTGGGGTTAATTACACCTCGGCCGCGTGATGTGCTGGTTCTCGCTGTTCGCAGCCGTGAGCTAGCTCGTGGCCGTAGCCGGCCGCCAACGTCAGCACTCGCCATTGACCGCGGCGCGCCGTCCTTCGCAGTGCAAGCTGGGAGCCGCCGGCGCCAAGACGTACCTGCGCAACAAGGCTGCGCAGGTGTTCGCGCTGATCTTCGTCGCCGACTTCCCGGACCGCTGGCCGACCTTCCTGCTGGACCTGATGGGCATGGCCGCGCTGGGCCCGCCCGCCGTTGACATGTACCTGCGCACTCTGCTGCAGATCGACCAGGAGGTACGCGCCCCACCCGTGTCGGCGTCCGACGGGACGTGGGGGCGTCCGGCTCCCGCAGCCTCGCACGGCTCCGGTGCGAAGGATCCGGGAGGTTGCATGTCGGGTGGCGCGTGTGTAGGCGCACGAGTGTGCGGCCTGTCCAAATGCCAGCGATTTGTATATTATGCGTCGCAGCACGTGCGCGGTTCCCCCGCCATTCAGCCGCAGTGGGATTCTTTCAGCGTAGTTCCATGAGGTGAACCACGACCCTGTTCGCTGGTGATCATCGCCAAAGAAGTATGCGCACCATGAACCGCTTGATTTACGGGCACGTTCAAAAATGGTTTGTATATTGTTTTCGTTATGGTCATTATGGTTTAAAAGTAAACATATGGAGTACATATGGAGTAAAAATAACCTTTCCAGTGCGGTAGCGGGCTTGGCGCGGTTCAAAGTTCCGAAGGCTCCTAGCTTGCGTTTATGAGGCGAAACTTGCTGGATGGGTTCGTCCTGCCGCATCGCAAATTCGGCGTTGCGGGGGCGTTGAGGACAAGCAGTACCCAGCTTCAATGTCAGCTCTAGATAGACGTCTCGAGGTCGTTTTTGTCTTCATTAAGGTCGTCGACACCATTAATCGCCTTTTCGGCCCTGGCATCAGGCGAACCGTCTCGGAGATGTACCGTGACCAGTCTCCGCTGTCCTCACCCCTCCCCCCCCCCCCCCCCGCAGATCGTGGACCGGGACGTGGTGCACTCTGAGCAGGAGGCGCGCCGCAACACGCGCATCCGCGACGCCATGCGCGAGAAGTGCGTGCTGCAGCTGGTGGAGTCATGGCACGGCACGCTGCAGTCGTACGCCACCACGCAGCCCCATCTCGTCTGCATGTGCTTCGAGGTGGTCGGCAAGTTCGTCTCCTGGATCGACATCGGCCTGGTGGGTGGGGAGGTCGAGCGCCGGGGTCGGGTCGAGCGCGTGTGAACTCCGTGCAACGTTAGCCGTGCGTGTCAAGTTCGAGATCTGAGGCTTGGTTAGATATTGGTTCGGAATTTGAGTGCCTATGTTTGGCGTGAGGAATGTTGGTAACAAACCCGTTATGGGAGGGCGTGGTGGTCGCCAGAATGCCTGACGGCCACCGCCGTGGCAAATGCAAAATAGCTTGCAGCGGGCAGTCCGCGACGCGAAGGTCGTTTTACCCCCGTGCTGGCGCCATGCCGCGCTCCGCAAGGTGTTGCCTGTTTGCCACGCTGTAGCAGCCAGGCCAGGCGTACCCGTACACAGACTGCGTGACCGTCCAGAATCCGTCAGGGCGCCCTCTTGTGCCCTCCTCGGCCCCCGGGAGCATGTCGGGATTCAATCGTGTCCTTGCACGTCATTTCTCGTGCGATCCGCGCTGTATGTGCGCCGCGCGTCGGCAGGTGGCCAACGAGCGCTTCGTCGCCGTGCTGGTGACGCTGCTGGGGCTGGTGGACGTGCGGGAGGCGGCCGCCGACTGTCTGCATGACATCACGCACAAGGGCATGGAGCCTGTGCCCAAGGTGCAGCTGGTCGAGTCGCTGTTCGCCGTGCTGCAGCAGGCGGCCGTGTTCCAGCTGCTGGAGCGCGTCAACGACCAGGTGAGGTGGCGGGGCGGGGGTGTGGGGTGACGAGCCGAGGCGGACGGGGCTGGACGCCGCTCGTAACGGGGGATGGATGCGCGCGGGCCGGCACGAGTTCAGTGCATGCGTGGGTTCGACTTCGCCCGCGAGTTGGTTAACGCTGCAGTGACGTGTAATAAGGCGGATGTTGTATGGTTCACACTGTGTTGTGTTTGTTCGAGTACATGGTGACTAACTCGGTAATTGCGTGTGGAGGGATGATGCGCGTTCGTGTCACGGTCGCGCTTTACGTCTACGACATCGCTGCGTCGGTCGCTACGCCTGCTGAGAGGTATGCTTCTGACACTCGTGCGCGCGCAACCAGCTGTCTGTCATCTCCCGTCTGGAGCATCGCACGTGTCCGCTTCGCAGACGCCGGCCGAGGACGTCGACTATCTCTGTAAGCTGGGCAAGGTACTGAACGGCATGGGCATCGAGCTGGTGCTCTGCTACCACAAGCTGGCCAAGGCGGCGGCGGCGGCGCCCGGGTCTGGCGCGCTGGCCGCCACCGAGGCGGCCATCGGTGCCAAGGTGCAGCACATGCTGGCCTTCCTCAAGTGCGACTACGACGACCCTTCGCGCAGCGTCATCGACTTCGCCCGCGACTACGTGCAGGTGCGGCGTTCGTGTGGTCTTATGTGGCGCTCAGGTGGTCGTAGGTGGCGCTCAGGTGGTCTAATGTGGCGCTGAGGCGGGCTTACGTGGCGTTCGGGTGGTCTTATGCGGCGCTCGGGTGGTCGTAGGTGGCGCTCAGGTGGTCTTATGTGGCGCCGAGGCGGGCTTACGTGGCGTTCGGGTGGTCTTATGCGGCGCTCGGGTGGTCTTATGCGGCGCTCGGGCGGTCTCGTGCGGTGGTTGTTGGCGCGCGGTGGCGTGGGTGCTTTTCCGTGCTACAATGCCGGTGGTACTGGAAGTAGTCGGACACCTTTTTGGGCTTCGCCTTGAGGTGGATGGTTGTTGTGTGCGTGCATGAATGTCCTTTTTTGAATTTCGTACCTCGTGGCTGACGGGTTTTCCACGTCAGACTCGTAAATAGCTGCACTGCTTGACTTTGTGTGAAGGTGGGATGGAAGGGAAATGTTCCACATAAATGTTATAACACGTTGCAGGATTAAGACATCGTTGAAAGGACTACCCAAGCGTTCCAAGAATATGCACGTGTAGGAAGAGCGTAAAGCCTGTCTTGACAATCTGATGTAGTGACCATGTTCCCCGTTGCTGACGATTGACCCCGTTCGCAGTTGTTGAAGACGAAGCCGATGCTGTCTGAGGCCGAGACGGGCCACGTCCGTGACATGGTCTACGTCATCATCCACAAGCTCAAGTACGACGATGACTACGACTTCCAGGCCATGGGCGAGGATGAGGCCATGTTCCAGGAGTACAGGTACGGGCTGCGGGTCAGATGAGGACGATGGCGGGGCCATGCTCTAGGAGTACATGTACGGACTGCGGGCCAGATGAGAACCAGGACAGGATCAAGGCTCGGCCCATGAGATGAGGGCACTCAGCTTAATCGAACTCGGACCTAAGGAAGATCAGACATGGAGCTCCACATTGCCTGACATAACAACGCGACCGATATGCTACTGATGGTGGAGGCGGGAGTGGCATCGCGTGACGTCACGCGATGGTACCTCTGGGCGTCCTCAGGAAGCGGCTGAAGGTGCTGTACGACAACCTGGCTGCCGTGGACCGGGACCTGGTGCTGCACATCACGCAGCAGTTCATCTGCTCCACGCTCGACTGCTGGAAGTCGCTGCCCATGCGGGACGTGGAGGCCGCCATCACCATGCTGTACATGCTGGGCGAGGCGCTGCCGCCCGCCTCCGCTGGCAACTTCTTCTCCGACGAGCCGGTGCGTGGTGCTGCCCATATGAACAGTGGGCTGCCCGGATTATGGCATGCCTGTGACGGCTGATGAAGCTTTCTTTTGAACTGCGACCCCTTCCGCTCTCTCAAACGTGGATCAGTCATGCTGCCTCGGCGGATGCCGCCAGTTTAGTATGGCCGGAGACCTCGTTAACAGAGAACCCAATGCAGTCTCGTCACGTGCCGGAATGGTCGTCCAGTCCTGTTGGCATGGCAGCCGGCTGACGCCCCCCCGGCGCTGTTGCAGGCGAAGGTGACGCTGCTGCAGACGATGATGCGCCGCCTGGTAACCTCAGACGTCGTCTCGTACCCGCACCACATCGTGCCGTTTCAGTACTTCGAGACGGTCTCCCGCTACGAGAAGTTCTTCACCGTGGAGGCGGCCCTCCTGCCGCAGGTGGGCCGCCGTTTGAAACGAACATGCAGCCGAGCACTGACGCGGCACGTGGCGGTGCGCGCGACTGTCAGTAACCTGCGCCTCACAGCGCTGTTGAACTATACTGTTACACTTAAGCGGTTTGCAGTGTAACGTAGGCGTAGCGTCCGCCGCACGAGTTGCTGGTGTTCTGTTGCTTGCGCCGTGTCCACCGTTAGAGATACGTAGCGCGTGAGATGTGAACCTATGTATTGGGAGTCCACTGCGCTGTTGAGCTCTCTTTCGACAGCTCCGACGTTTCCTAGGCCTGCTTACGAACGAACCGTGGACTGTACGCTAACCGTCCTGTTGTGCTGTGCTCCCCATGTTAACTGCCTGTGTTGTCTGCTGATGACTGGTGATTGGTGTCCTGAGTGTTCTGATGGTGACTGGTGAGTGGTGTCCTGAGTGTCCTGATGGTGACTGATGGCCTGACTGGTTCCCTGGCTGGCAGGTGTTGACTGCCTTCCTGGACGAGCGGGGGATGAACCACCCCAACGAGCGCAACAGGGCGCGCGCTGTCTACCTCTTCTCGCGTTTCATCAAATGTCTCAAGTAAGCAGGTTTTGGTATGGCATCTGTAGAGGCAGCTGTGAAAGCCGTCTGTTGCGATGGGCTTAGTGTATGCGATGGATGTTGTCCTTTTATTTGCGAGATTCGTTTTATTCTTGGAGAAGGTCCATAAGGAATAAGACGTACAATGTTTGTGAAGTTACCGAAGAAAGTTTTGAAGAATCGTCAATCTTTAGTGTGTAAGCAAGGACGTTGCTGCCATAAGTGTGTAATAAGAACAGCAGCCAATACCTGAGTGAATGCTGCTCGGGTAGTTGCAGGGATCTATCGAGGTGATTCACTGTTCATGCCGAGTGCTGACGCGCCTGGCATCAGTTCTGAAGTTTGCCGCGTGCTGAGCTCGGCTGTGTCCTCGTCAGGGTGCAGATGGGCCCGTTCACGGACACCATCCTGGGTCAGATCAAGAACCTGCTCTCGCTGGACCCGTCCGACGCCACGCTGCTCAACCGCGAGGACCAGCTGTACCTCTTCGAAACCGTCGCCGTCCTCATCATCTCGGCGGCGTCGGACAATAAGGTACGTGCTCGGGGTCCGTACTGTACCTCTTCGAAACCGTCGCCGTCCTCATCATCTCGGCGGCGTCGGACAAGGTACGTGCTCAGCATCTGTACTGTACCTCTTCGAAACCGTCGCCGTCCTCATCATCTCGGCGGCGTCGGACAACATGGTACGTGCTCGGCGTCCGTACTGTACCTCTTCGAAACCGTCGCCGTCCTCACCATCTCGGCGGCGTCGGACAACAACGTACGTGCTTGGCATCGCTCCGTGCACGTGGTGTAGAGGTGTTTGTTGAATGGTGCGCCTTAAAGTGCTCGTGGGGTTTTGGTTAGTCAGATTAGATCTTGTGGCGAAAATGATGATCTTTTGTCGAGTTCTCATGGGTTGATGTGTTTTTCTTTGTCATCGGATGCTTCATGTTTGTGGGGACATTTTGACAATGTTCGGTGTCCTTAAAATCCCGCATTGAGAGCTCATTTTATCCATTTTAATCATACCAGTGGTAGTAGCTGCTTTGAGGGATCATGGCTGGCTGGTTTTAATATCGAACCATCTCGTGTCAGCACGTGACGGGGCGCAAGTGTTCCATTCCTCACCTCGGGCAGTTATGCGACGCTCGGCCTTTTCTCGCTGCGTGACGCCCAATGCTTCCATTCGGCGCCACCTCGCCACCCGGTGACCCCTGCCCGTGTCCACCTCGGCAGCACAAGTGCGAGCAGCTGCAGCAGCTGCTGGGCCCGGTGGTGGGCCAGGTGGGCACGCTGTCGGCGCAGCTGGAGTCGGCGCCCGAGGGCTCGCCGCTGGCCGAGCGGCTGCAGCGGCAGGCGCGCCACGCCGTCGGCGTCACCGCCCGCACCACCAAGGCTTTCTCGGCCGGCCAGACGATGCGGCTGGTCGGCTGCGTCCAGCTCTACCTGGAGGCGCTGCAGATCTTCCTCAACACACTGCAGGTGGGTCGCGCGCGACGACGGGGCTGAAGCGATCCGGGCACGTGCGCCGCCGCGGGGTGGTTTATGGCCAAACTAGCCTCTCGGTTTCGTGTGCTGATGTTGGCGTGCGCTGGTGGCATCGCTCCAGGGGTGAAGGAACGTGCTATGGAGTGGACGGGTCAACTCCGTCTTTAGTTAAGTTCTTCCCACGCATCCTCACAGCGTCAACGATAAGCTATCTGAAGATGCGGTCGGGCGTTGGTCCGCCCTGTGTTTCACTGCTCCATCTCGATGTGACCCAGGTGCCTGACCGTCTGACCGGCGTGCGCCGTGCGCCGCCGCAGGGCCCGCGCCAGTACCCGCTGCTGCAGTCGGGCGTGATCCAGCTGCTGCACCGGCTGGTGGTGTGCCTGGAGGAGGAGGTGCTGCCCTACATCCCGGCCGCCTCCGAGGCGCTGCTGCGCTCCGCTGACGTGCGAAAGGTGCAGGAGTACCTGCCGCTCATCAACCAGGTGGTCGCCAAGTACAAGGTGCGCTGGAGGGTCTCCGGACGTGGGTGTGGGAGGGCGCCGACCGGACTCGCCCGCTGTTTGTCTTGCTGGGGCGCTGGAGGGTCTCTGGATGTGGGTGGGAGGGGGAAGCCGGCCGGACTCGCTCGCTGTTTGTCTTGCTGGGGCGCTGGAGGGTCTCTGGATGTGGGTGGGAGGGGGAAGCCGGCCGGGTTCGCCCGCTGTTTGTCTTGCTGTCGCGCTGGGGGGTCTCTGGATGTGGGTGGGAGGGGGAAGCCGGCCGGATTCGCCCGCTGTGTTACGCGCTGGGCCGGTCGTCAGACCGCTTTGGGTAATAGGAAGGCGCATGTCGGCACGTACCAGTAAACGTTGCGCAGCCATCTACGAACACAGTCTTGAATGCTGTCAGCGGGGTTTCTCTCACTCCAACAATGGGCTAGGCTGGCTGGTTTCTAGTTCAGGAAAGAACGTTGCGCCGGGATTGTCACCGCAGTCTCGTGATGTAGCAAACAACGGCCATTATTAGTTGTCTTTCTGCACTTGTACCGGGCTTCTTTCAACTATAATTTGCCCTGTGATGATATCATGTTCTCCGCTAATTCCCCATATATGTGCCAGTTTTCGTATTTACTTGCTTCGTTGTTCCTTTATGGACCTGCGGACGCTTGCCACGATAACGCGGATGCCTTGGAAGTTATGTGACGTGACCAGACGTGACACAAACTGCATGCATCAAAGAATAATTGGGGTACACACATTGCTATGCGCTAACATCGGCAATGCACGTTTTTGCATTTAGGAGAATCTGCATTGTAAATACATGTCACGAGTAACCAGACATGTAACCTCCTGCAGTGAATGTGTTATGGCTTGCATTAACGTCGTCTCATAATCGCCATTGCTATACGTGCTAACACTAAACGCATAAATACGCACTTAACTGCGCTCCAAAAGTGCGAGGAGCTTGGCCGAGATGCGCTTGCACGGCACGCCAGCAGCCGGTGTTCGGCCGGCCGCGGCCGAACCGCGGCGCGGGCGGCGCGCGCGAGCAGGTGCGACACGCTGAGTGTAGCTGTCGTGGCTGTTTCAGAAGGAAGTGATCCCGTTCGTGACGCGCGCCTTCATGCCCATCGTGGAGACGATCTTCGCCGGACTGCGCCAGCCCATCGACGACGACGACGAGGTGGTGAGTACGGCGCCGCGGCGAGCTCGATGGGGGGGGGGGGGGGGGCGGGGCGGACAGGGACGACCACGGAGTACAGCTTCTCGTCAGAGCGAGATGGTGGCCTGGGCGGTGTTTTGGGTCCCACAGAGTTCTCGTACCCTGATGCGGTCCGCCAGATGAAATATCCCGAACGCAGGTTTGCCTATCTGACATCTACCCGAGTCGGGGCGCCGGCATACTTGTTGGGAGAGCCGGGTAATGCAGTCTGGGCATTGCTATACAAACCGTGCCACAAGGAGCGCCTTCATTGCTCAAATAGATGAAAACGATGAGCACATGACGTGAATGGGGGCGGCTTTATCACCCCGCGCGTGCGTCTGGTGCCGGTGGCAGGCGCGGCGAGACCGGCAGACGTTGCAGCGCTGCTACTACCTCTTCCTGGCGTCGCTCGTCTCCAACAACGTGCTGGAGGTGCTTGCGCAGCAGCAGCCGCAGCACCTGCACGCCGTGCTCCTGTCCGTGGTGCAGGGGGCTGTCGAGCTGCCTGACCCCGTGGTAAGCGGCTGACCTTAAAGCGCGAGGTCTGTGTATGGTGCGGTTCAGGCTGTGGTCTCGAGGTTGCTTACATGGGCTGTTAGTTAGCGCGGGTTGGGTGGTGGTCGTGTCCTCATGTGATACGCCGTGGTGATCGTGCCTCAAGCACATCGAAAGCGTTTAGTCTTTTTGGCTTCTTCTTCTTCTTCTTCGGCATCTTCTTGCCGCTTGTGCGGGCCTTCACTGCTTCTTTTATTGAGATCTAAGTAGTGTTTAGGCATCTGTATGCTGTGTGCGTGTCTGCTGCCTTCTAGACTGGGCTCGTCACGAGAGCCCTGGGCAGCAATTGCGATCAGGTTAGCGTACAACGCTACCGACGAGCGCCTCTGAAGCTTGCTCTTGTCAGATGGCGTTCATGGTCCCGTCCCGTACGCAGCAGCCCACTTCCATAGCCATCCCCGACCGCTGACCGGCGCGCGGCGTCGCGGCCCGCAGGCGCAGCGCTCGTGCTTCACCATCCTCCGGCGCGTGACGGAGGCGTGGGGCCGCGAGGGACCGGCCGACTTCGCCGCCTTCCTGTACGAGCACGTGGTGCCGGCCTGCTTCCGCGCGCCACTCAGCAGCACGTTCGACCTGTCCGACGCGCAGACCATGCAGGCCCTGCACGAGTCGGCCCTCTGCCTGCGCACCGTCTACGAGCAGCGGGTGAGCGCCGGGCGACCGACGGCCGGCCGGGGGACGGCGAGGACAGGTGCGGGGAGGGGGGGGGGGGGGGGGGGAGCGGTGAAAGTTGTGGGCACAAGGGTGGTGAGAGCATGAGGTCGATGGGATTGTCGTTGAGGAGAGTGAGAGCGTTGTGCCGGGTACATGTCGGTGTTGCGAACGTCAGGGACGGTTTTCTCGAACTTCTATGACCAGCCCCTACTTTAATGAGCCATGAAAAAAGGTTCATGATGAGATTAGATGCGTAGGATTAGAGTGCAACATTTACCTGGCGTATCATATTTAATCTGCTCTCAGCGATCGCCGAAGACCTCAATGGTGGTCGCACGGAACGTTCACCATGTCCTAATGTCACCTGGTCCATGACCTGAGCCTGCTGTGCGCTGCGGTCAGCCGTGTGTGCGCTCTGTCTGTGTTGCGACCGCCGGTGCGCCGCGCCGGTCACGACAGCGTGAGCGCCGCCGCCAGGGCGAGGAGCTGGTCAGCTACCTGCAGAGCCGGTACATGCCCACGCTGGACCTGGAGCCGGACGTGATCCAGCGCTTCTGCCAGGCGCTCCGCTCCGACAGCAAGATATTCCGCAACTACACCAAGGTAGGCGGCCTCGCGGCCTCTCTCGGACGCCCCGCCGCGCCGCGACCACCTGGACGTGTTCTGAGACGGTATCCACAGCCGTCTCTCTTATCCTCTATCTCGCCTCATCCTGCATTCTCGCGACACCCCGTTTGTCCGGGGCAGGCTGCATGCATCAGCCACGAGTGGGCCGAGAGCCCCGTGGGAAGGGGGCCCCGACTGGGTACCCAGCGCGCATGCGCTAGTTTAAGCTCGGTGGCTGGCCCTCCAGGCGCATGCTGGTCTGTCCCGCCGTTAGCCATTTTCCTTCCCCCCCATAGCCCTGAAATGATCAGTTCTGGTCGAAAGGGCTCTAATCCAAAAAACAATGGACGTGTTCTGATGGGAGGCGACGACTGCTTGAGTGGGATGACTGCTGGTTTTTGGTTGTGAGGGCGCATCAACTGTATTGGTGATTTGCGTCGAATGGAAACGTGCTGTCGTCTAACCGAACGCTGTGGGATGACGGAAAAATAATCACGAGGTGCTGACAACGTTAATATCGTGTGCTCTGAGTCTGAGGTGCCAACATATTTATTGCTTTCATCTCTTCAACAGTCTTCCCTATGCTTCGCTGATCATCTGACAGGCCCTGCTTGCCATCTGCCCGTGGTGTCCTTGCCAGAGGCTGAACAGCCAGGACACCGTTCTCATGACCCGTACAGCTCTGTAACGCCACTTTTTCTGTTTCCTTTGCAGATGTTTTTCCGCCAGGCGCGTTCGTGACCTGCGCTGGCGTCGGCGGCCGGGCCTAGTCAGTGTCTTTGAATGCTCCAGCCGACGCGGGCGGGCACCGCAGGACCCTCAGCGCTGACGGCCGTGATGGCTGGTTGGCCAGGTGGCACCACTGAAACTCAATCGACGCGTTGCGACGCTTAAAGCGTAGGAACATATCGCCACGCCTGCGTGCGAGCGCGTGCGTCCGTGTCGTTTGCGTGTGGTGTAAGCGCGTGGAGGCGGCCTGCCGCTCGGTGGATGCGTCCACCTTGTCTGCTCTTGCGGGGCCGTGAGTGCCCGGGACGGTGTTTCTGTGATACGCACCACCGCTTGCGGAGGTGCGGGCTGCGCCAGCGACAATGCGCCGGCGGTGTCTGCCGCGCGGGGGTGGCTTTCTCGTGGTCGTGCTCACGTGTTATTGTGGTATTTTGTAAGAATTCCTCGCAACTTGTTCCGATTATTTCGAGTATCGCATTGCACTGGATGTGGCAGTCCCCCCTCACGAATGATCCAAAGTACCCCGACGGCTGGTGCGACCTGAGTTTGTCAGCCTCGCGGTGTTGCGTCGACGTGTTCCTTGATCAGCCGGGGGGCAACGATCGCGGGGTGCCTGGCCAGCGCCGGCGGCTGTGCAATGTTCCGGTGAGGCCGTCTGGTGGCGGCGCCCCGCCTCAGCCTCGCCCCGGACCCTCCGTCGGCTCCCGCCCGTCGGGTCATGTGGTCGCCGCCGAGTCGTCGGATCGCTCGTCTCTCGTGCCGGGCGGCCGAGTCCGCCGTCAGAGGCCTGCCGTGGCTGGTCGCCGTGCTTGTAGCATACTGTTCCGTTGATTCATTTATCACCAGTGGTGCCTTGTGTTTGTGCTCTCGCAACCATACATGTACTTTGGCAGTTTCAGGGCTCAATAGTATGCTGTTGGACAAGAACTTCCTCGCGCCAGGTCGGGCTGTCGTACATTGCGAACTGAAGTTCTGCCGGCTTGTTTAAGCTCGCGGTCCTTATATTTTGTGAGTGGCGATCGTCAGTGGCTATTTCTGTAACATTTGACTTGCCTTTCTTAACGACGAGGTGTGCCGCTTACTTTGCATCTGTGTAAAGGGAAGGTTTCGTAGTGCTCAGACATTTGGGGTTGGCCGCAAGCGATTATGCGATTTGTATCTTGTTGCGAACGAGGTGTGGTTGCTTTGTATGTGCGTATTTATCGAATACGGATGGATTTGGGAGTTACGAGCTGTTTATAATGAAGCTAATGCATCAATGGAATGTATGTGTACGCACCATGATGTGCACGACTACGGTTAGTTCGCGTTTCGTTTCCAGGCACCAGGGTTGTCGCTGGAAACAAACCCGTGCCCGGTTTGTATTTTGCTCACGGATATGATCTTGTTTTGATCTTAAACAGTTTGTGATTTACGAAGCAAGACAATAATGTGTTATGGTACTGTGTATTTTTCTTTCTCACTTGACCAGCGAAAATGGTGTTCCGTTGGTACCTTCGTATCAAAAAGTCAGTTTAAGGTCGCGTTAACATGTTTTGCTCCCGCTGGCGCTGGCGTGATGAACGCCACCTTTGAGACCGACTCAAGTACGTCGGAGGGGCGATACTTGGGGTCTGGCCAAACCTGTGGGGTAACAATTTATCTACGCACACGTGAAATGCAGACGAATTCCCGAAACAGTTCACTCGAGCATCTGGCGACATCGCAGTGGCGCGGTGGGTGTCACGGCTAAGGAGGGCGTCCGAGAGCGTGAAGAGGCGCACCGCCAATCGCCACAAGCAAAACAGGCTCGCCCCTACCGCTGCTGTGACCCTCGAGTGCTCATGTTCCGTTGGTGCAGCCGTGTTATTGTCACTGTGTAAGCCCGGTGTCTGTAATGATGGGAGTTGTCGGGCCGTGGTGCACAACCAGAGCATGCGAGAAGAAAGATGCCGGGCCCGATTGTCCCCACCAGATTTGTTTAGCCTAGCAGCAGCGTCTCTGATCACATATTTCTAGTTTTAGAACTGTACCTGATGTGTGCGTACTGCATCTTGACCGTGCATCTTTCCACCCACCGCGCACTAATTGTTGAGCTGCCTACGCTGTACCCAAAGCTATGTAATTTTGTTTCGTTGCGAGTACATCGTGCTGTCACCATCACAGCGGGTCAAGATCGGAACAGCAAAAACTGTGCGAGATTAGCCGTCACGGATCGCTGGCTACCTTACAGTTCCGCATCGGCGTGACCCGGGACCGTGTGTCGTTTTACGAGTCAGGGATTGCACGATGACCCGGCGTTGGAAACCTTGTGCAAACACGTGTCTCACAAACATGCGTGTACGGTCCAAAGGCGGACCGCATGACGCACGTCGCTATGTTCCATACTCGTCTTCCGCAGCATCGACGGCGCGTCGAGCCGGCGGCGCTCACTGGACACCCTGGAACGTGAGGCCGGTGCCCTCCACCGAGCGCCTGATCCAGTCGTTGAGCCGCCGGTCGGTGTCGGCCGACAACTGCTGCTTCCAGCTGCCTACCTGGCCCTCACGGATGAAGGACGGCATGTCCAGGATGCCCGCGTCCTGGTACATCAGCGAGTTGGCGTGCTTGTTGTTCTTCATGCCGGCGAAGTCCAGGTGGCTGCACAGCTGGCCCACTTGCTCGTCCGTCAGCTGCTTTCCGAGGAAGGCGGCCACGCGGCGGAGCGTGCCCGGCATGTCACGCTTCATGTCCTCGTAGAACAGGAACAGCATGTTGGGATGGTCGCGGCGCTCCCACGCTTCCAGCACGTGCGAGAAGAACGGCAGCCCGGGCAGCCGGCCGGCCATGTAGTCCTCGGCCAGGTCCTCAAGCGACCCGCTGTACTTGACCACGCGGCAGCGCGAGAAGTGGTGGTAGTACGACACCAGCGCGTCCTTCGGGTTGCGGGTCACATAGATTACTTTGTTGGTGTCCAGCACGTCGGGTGGCAGCAGCGACAGCGGTACGTGCGTTTTCACCAGCCCCGCCGAGCGCCAGAGGCCGCGCAACAGCAAGTAGCCCAACCGGCAGAGCCCGGCCAGCTTCGAGGGCTGCGTCAGCACCAGCGGCACGTACTCGCGCAGGAAGGCGGGCGTCAGGCCCAGGTAGAAGAAATTCCCCACCTCCGTGTAGCGGTTCTGATCGAGCGGCGTGCGTGCGCCGGCAAAGTCGCAGTCGTTGGCCAGCAGCCAGGCCATCTCTAGCGTCCACGTGGTGCCGCACTTGGGCACCGAGCAGACCACCAGCTCGCCGGGGCGCACGGTGCGGCGCGCCGCGTACCGCGGCAGGCTGAGGAGGGCGTGGCGCGGCAGCGTGAAGCGGCCGGCGCCGACGCGCACGGCGCCGGCCTCCAGCGCCCGGCAGTGGCCGCGCAGCGTGCGCTCGTCCATGGACAGCACACGGTGTCGCCGGCCCGCGTCGTCCTGCACCTCCCAGCCACCCGCAGAGGCGTCGGCCTCGATCTCTGGTGTGGTGTTCCGGGCCTCTGGTGTGCCGTCCCGGGCCTCTGGTGTGTTGTCACGGGCCACTGGTGTGTTGTTCCGGGTCTCTGGTGCGCCGTCCCGAGGTTCTGGTGCGCAGTTCCGGTCACGCGCGCTTGGGCTAGAGCGGTACCTCGCCTTCGTTACGTCTTCCCGCACGCCATACCTGAAGTTGGCCTCGCCACCTTCCGCGCGATATTTCAAACCGCCAGAAAATCTGCCGTCGGACGACAGCGATCTGGACAGGGCAGCACTCACACTAGGACGGCCGTCAGCGCTGGTGATGAGTGGATACTCTTGAACTTTCGCCGCAGGCTGGAGCGCAGCGTCGTGCCTCCGCCGGAGGGTCCCGGTCGTCAACCCGTACTCTGCGTGAGAGCTGGGGCTGTCGTGACCGCGAGAGCGCTCCTGGCTTGCCGTCGGGTCATTCTTGGCCGAGGACGCACGCTGGCAGGCTTCTGGTATCTCAGCTGCCCCGCTGATATTCAGGTTGGCGCAGGTGCCGTCATTTGCGTTGGTGGCCACCATCACGGGTCATTTACGTGACAGCCGACTTCCAATACGCTCCTCCTGTTTTCGGTTCGCGGAAGGCAGGCAGACTGTAATCCGGAGTCGCACGCAAGTTTCCACTGCTGCAGGGAGCGCTTGTATGCGGGGACAGCGGGCGTGTACGCTAAATAAAGTCGGTGTCCGCTGATGCGGCATGATACAACACGCGCTTCGACGGCAGGCACATGGGGCGGTGCCGCAATCGCCTGGGCATTTCGTCACAGCAGTAAAAGTAGTGTCGACCTTTTCCACTCGCCGTTGGAGGAATACCTAGATAGCTGCGGCGTTGTCCCAAACGGTGTAGGAAGGAGTTGTAGTTGCATTTGCAGGGACGGAGTCTGCTACAAGGCCATGCTGATGCGGAGCTGACCGTCGCTGAATCAAGACAGCTCACCTTGCCGAACTGAGCCAAGAGATGTCTCGCCAATCGATTACGTGCACGTATGTCGTCACTGGCAGTGTTTTCTTACCTCAATCGGAAGACGCTATGGCGAGGAACTACATCAGGAACACTGCCGAGAAAACCCCGTCAGAAAAGTCGAGAGCGCTTAGTATTGACAATGTATGTACGGGGCTTGAGCGCACTGGGATTTACCCCCACAATCGTACCGTTTTTGATGATGAGTTGTTCCTACCCAGCTCGGTGACTAATGGACCAGTCCTACGGCCAGTCATCTCTAAAGGCTCTGGTCAGCTGGCGCCGAGCGGAGCGACGGCAGGCACCGGTCAGCTGGCGCCGAGCGGAGCGACGGCAGGCTCCGGTCAGCTGACACCGAGCGGAGCGACGGCAGGCTCCGGTCAGCAGGCGCCGAGCGGAGCGACGGCAGGCTCCGGTCAGCAGGCGCCGAGCGGAGCGACGGCAGGCTCCGGTCAGCTGACACCGAGCGGAGCGACGGCAGGCTCCGGTCAGCAGGCGCCGAGCGGAGCGATGACAGGCTCCGGCCAGCAGGCGCCGAGCGGAGCGACGGCAGGCTCCGGTCAACTGGCGCCCAACAGAGCAGCGGGCTCTATGGTACAGGATACGTCCGTTTCTTCAGAGGCCGGTTATTGATCAGCAAAAAAGTTGTCATGGCTTATAACTGATGACATTTCCTTTTGGTTCACATGATCTAAATCACAGGTATAAGTAGAGCAGAGCTATCGCGATTACCTTAAAAAACGTATCAACGCGCCCTACTATCCTCGAAGTGTTTTCCACCTCAATCGTCAAAACGATTCAGTACTACTACTCACGCAGAACTGTTCGTGAATGAACGTGTTGAAAGGTGGGTTAAAACACAAGCTTGATTTGGTCGGCGCGCCGACCGGTAAAGACCTGTAACCAAAGCCTCAGGTTGCGCTGTCACACGCAGCAGAGGCGGCGGGAAGCGCGCAGTTCAGCCGTGAGCGTTGCTACCGGTCGCTCCTAGCACTAGTCACCACTTGCCCGCGTGAGGGGCTGCGGTGAGCGAGACTTGACCCCGTGACCCAGGGCATCGCGGACTGAAACCAGTGTGTAGGGACCTGGACACGCGTGCGATAACCAGGCGTTCGTCCGACTGTTCCCAAAGCCTCGCACGGTTCTGGGTCTGCGCACCACTAACAAGGCTATGCTGCTGCGGGATGCATCGTGCGTTTAACAAGGCTATGCTGCTGCGGGATGTATCGTACGTTTAACAAGGCGATTTCGCTGTGGGATGTATTGTACGTTTAACGAGGGTATATCGCTGCGGGATGTATTGCACGTCTAACAAGGCGATATCGCTGCGGGATGTATTGTACGTCTAACAAGGCGATATCGCTGCGGGATGTATTGTACGTCTAACAAGGCGATATCGCTGCGGGATGTATTGTACGTCTAACAAGGCGATATCGCTGCAGGATGTATTGCACGTCTAACAAGGCGATATCGCTGCGGGATGTATCGTACGTTTAACAAGGCGATATCGCTGCGGGATATATTGTACGTTTAACAAGGCGATATCGCTGCGGGATGTATTGCACGTCTAACAAGGCGATATCGCTGCGGGATGTATCGTAAGTCTAACAAGGCGATATCGCTGCGGGATGTATTGTACGTCTGACAAGGCGATATCGCTGCGGGATGTATTGTACGTCTAACAAGGCGATATCGCTGCGGGATGTATTTTACGTCTAACAAGGCGATATCGCTGCGGGATGTATCGTACGTTTAACAAGGCGATATCGCTGCGGGATGTATCGTACGTTTAACAAGGCTATACTGCTGCGGGATGTATAGTGCGTTTAACAAGGCGATATCTCTGTGGGATGTATCGTGCGTTTAACAAGGCGATATCGCTGTGGGATATATTGTGCGTTTAACAAGGCAATATCGCTGCGGGATGTATCGTACGTTTAACAAGGCGATATCGCTGCGTGATGTATTGTACGTTGACGTGTTTGTACACTACATAAGATGTGTATTGTTGAGCACCACGACTGAGGGTACACGTGGATTGTCCGACATGTCGGTGGTTGACACTGCAGGTCGAGCACAGCACTCGTTACCGCGGCCTACAGCGGCCGATCCGGCTCTGCACGCACCCTTTGACCCTCGCGCCAGCCAGTAAACAAATCATTCAGCTCCTTCTAAACAGTGCACAAAAACTACACATTCTCCTTCGCCTATCACACGGACGTAACACACAAATGGCCGCCGACCGTCGGCCGCAGAGTCCTGAGTCCTGGGTCGCCAATGTCCTGGTGAGCCGTTAGCTGGCAGCAGCGGCGAGGGGATTCGACCTTGCGACACCCCCCGCGGCGCGGTGATCAGCTCCAACAGCCTCCTCCACGCTGGCAAACCCGTCCGCGCTGGAGAACAAGGTACACCGCGGCTGGAGATCATGCTCAGGCAGAGCCGTGCACGAGACGCCAAAACGGTCAGCATTAAGCATTTGACAAGGCGTGTTTGAAAACGGGTTCCAGGGAAAAAACGTGCGACGCGCGACTTCCTTCTGCGCAGTGTTCTGCATTGCCCCCTAATACCCATGAAGTTATAACATCCCATCGCATCCACCGTGGATGGGCACTCATCAGTATGCCTTTAAAGCTGGACATGCTGGCCTGCTCTTGAACGCATGCACACATACTTGCATTTGAGGAATTTACGTGCAGAGTGTCCTGACCCAACTCTCGCAAGTGAACACCGACTCATGCCTAACGTAAATCGCCGTGTGGTATGAGCACCACCGCGCCATTTCCTCGTCTCAAGGCTGCCAACCGCCCCGCTGTTGCGCCAGCGTGAGCCAGCCTGCCCTCACGTGAGGAGGTCGGCCAGCTCGCGTTTGATGTCGCTGACCACCGGCGGCCCGCGGACGGTCAGCGCCGTGTACAGCTGCACCAGGCGGGCGCCGGCGCGGAGCTTGGCGTAGGCGTCCCGGCCGCTGAACACGCCTCCGACGCCGACGATCGGCACCGAGCCTGCCGACCGGCACCGCACGCGCTGGTGACGGTTCCGACACAGGACACATCTTGGACGCGGCCCGGACGCCGACGACCGACACAGCACGCGTTGGTGACGGTCCGGACACAGGGCACGCCCAAGACACGGCCCCGACACCGACGACCGGCACCGAGCCTGCTGACCGGAACAGCACGCGCTGGTGACGGCCCGGACACAAGACACATCCTGGACACGGCCCCGACGCCGACGACCGGCACCGAGCCTGCCGACCGGCACAGCACGCGCTGGTGACGGTCCGGACACAGGACAAATCTTGGACACGGCCCTGACACCGACGACCGACATAGCACGCGCTGGTGACGGTCCAAACACATGACACATCCTGGACACGGCTCCGACGCCGACGACCGACACCGAGCCTGCCGGTCGGCACAGCACACGCTGGTGACGGTCCGGAAACAGGACACATCCTGGACACGGCTCCCACGCCGACGGTCAGCACAGCACGCGTTGATGACGGTTCGAACGCAGGACACATCCTGGACACGGCTCTGAGACAGCGCTGGGGACATCGCACCAGAAACAATCACGCTGTCTGGACACAGCCTGAATGCTCCCCGGTCAGAACATCGTCGTCACAGTCGCACCACAGCTCAGGTATAGGCCGACCAGTCTGTAGACGATATAGTGACAGCTCGCTTTGGAAGGTTCAAAACGCTCCAAACAGCTCACCCGTGCATATGGTGGATATAAAATCTACCAGCACATCGGATCCCAGACGGCACGGTACATTGTGCGCAAAAGCCCAGGGCATGTACATTTTTAGAGTGAATATGGCGCAGTAATATGCATGTTACGGTTCGGTGAGTTTGAAACATTCGCACACAAATGTCACCGATGTTCTAAGGGGAAACGAATGTCGGTCTCGTCGGACATTGCTGACGTTCGTGCCACAGCACGCTTCTACGCAACTTCCTTACCATGAGTACAAAGTTGCATGGGCATGCAGTTTCGATGGTCATGACTAGGGTCCAGCACGTTTTGACACCCCGTGGCATTAAACGGCAAATCGAGAAATAACTCAACACGCATTCGAGGCGCATCAGGGGAGGCACCATTTAATATATCCCTTAACAACAGCACTTTTCGAACTGCTGAAAATTCGGCATCAAGCTGGTTCTGAGATCTCGCGTGGCGGCAGGTCAGCGATATCTTGGCGTCGCCCCTGCAGATATGACCCTCCTGGCCGGCTGTGAGGTCACGTGACTTATGTCTGCACTGACACGAAACAGCCCCGGAATATCGACAGGCGGTAGCGTAATCGCATGAGTTCTGAACGTCAGCTCGAAGACCACAAGGCAACAATGTTCGGCCAGATGAGCGAAGAGCACATAGTCAAGCAGGTATTACCACCAGTATTCGGCACATACCAAACACTAGCTGTTGCTGGTGAGATCGTATAAGTCGGAGATCATTTGCTGTTAGTCAGGTGGCACATGTTGGCCTCAGTTACCATTAGCCCGCTGGTACGATTTGTAGATAAGCTACCGTCTGCGAGATCGCGCATGCCAAATATCAGTTGCTGTCAGCATGTTCGTACACGTCGGAGACCAGTTACTGTTGCCCCGACAGCACCCGTCGGATGTCAGTTACCGTCAGTCAGGCGGTACATGTCGGCGATGGCGTCGGTGGCGAGCGCGGCCAGCGGCCGGCCGCTCAGACCGCCCGTCTCGGCCGCGTGCTCGCTCTTCAGACCCGACCGGCTGATGGTCGTGTTGCTGATGATCAGGCCGCCCAGGCGCTCCTGCGACGACCACGTGACGTGGACAGTCAGCCACGTGAGGTAGACTGTCACTTGAGGTGGACAGTCAGTCACGTGAGGTAGACAGCCACGTGAGGTAGAAATCAGCCACATGAGGCAGACAGTCAGCCACGTGACATAGATAGTCAGCCACGTGACGTAGACAGGCTTCGGCTCACAGCCGCCTCACAGCGGGTTTTAAACAAGCGCAGGGCAGCACACCGCCGCCTGGCCGACTTTGGACACGACAAAACAGCACACATTATAAGTGGGCTCAGTAAAGGCCTAGGTCCTCGCAAGGATTTGCTCAATCCCTGAAGCCAGAGAACGGCAGCAGTCCCCCTCGCGGTTCTGAGAGGCGGGCAATTAATCGGTCGGCCGTCTTTCCCTGACTGGCGGACTGCCTCCGCGGTCCATGCCTCTTCGGGCCAACCACTCCAATCACAGCCTGCCCCCACACCCCGCTGTGACGTCACATGCCGTGGAGTGGCGCGGCTGACCCACCCGGCGGGCCAGAGCGCAGCGCGCCACGTGACGCCGCTGCTCGGCCGAGAGGTCGGGCGCGATCTTGAGCAGCACGGGCGGTCGGGGCGGCGCAGTCAGGGCGTCGCGCGCGTCCAGCACCCGGTCCAGCAGCCGCTCCAGGTCCTCCCCCTTCTGCAGCTCGCGCAGACCGGGCGTGTTCGGACTGAGGGGGAGCCAGCGGTCAGGTCACCGCACGCGTCACGGGCGGCCCGGGTGCAGTGCTCGGATTTGAGGCGAACCCACAGGAACAACCGCCTGGCATCAGCCGCAGCCACCTGTTCGGAATCTGCAACCACCCTCAACACCCTCCCTGATTCCTCTCCCAATCCCGCGTCCTACAACACTCGGTCCATCGCCGCGATGCACGAGGCTGACCTAGACACGTTGACGACGAAGTAGCTGGCCAGGTCGGCGAAGGCGGCGACGCCAGCCACGTAGTCGGCTGCTGCGTCTGTCGAGAGCTTGTTCTTGCCCAGATTGACGCCGACAAGGCCGCCGGCGGTCCGCCGCGCGCGCAGGCGCTCAGCCACCGCCGCGTGGCCCTCCGAGTTGAACCCGTACCTGGGCAAGTGACGGGGTGGGGATCAAGCCACACGATATGAGGTGAACGCCGGATGGAAAGCGGTCATTACGTTGCAACGGATGCCACGACTGCGGCATGCGTCAGTGCTTGCCGATGTTGTCCTTGAATCACTGTGATATGGGCGTCAGCTGACCATCCCAGATTGCTAGATGACCCAATTTAACCGAGCCGTCGCTGCGCTTGAAACGTCACATAATGAATACTTAGATAATAGACTCGCGGTGCAGCAGGCTCGATTGCCGATATCACTGGCCTCCCTGCAAACCGCTAAGTAACATCCACCCGTCGGCCGTGCAGTAGTGCGATGCTTGCTGCTGCCCGGGGACCGTGCCGCACCGACCCACCTGTTGATGACGGCGTCGTCCTCGGGCAGGCGGAACACGCGCGGTCGCGGGTTACCGGGCTGCGGCTGCGGCGTCACCGACCCGACCTCCACAAAGCCGAAGCCGACGCCGAGCATGGCGTCGCAGGTCTCGCCATGCTTGTCAAACCCGGCCGCCAGGCCGATGGGGTTGCTGAACTGCAGACCCCACAGCGAAGTCCTCTGTAACAATGGAGCATCCAGGCTGTCATCCCGTTATCTGAGAGGAGAGCCTCTACGTAGTTTGTCAGCGACGACTTGCATCTTGGAAACGTGAAGCGTAGCGAAAAAACGGCATGGCCTACGAGATCATAAGCCACTCGTTAAAAGGAACACAAGTAGCAATGATAGCACGCCCCTATAACTTCTCCGACCATCGCCCAATATCTGCGACAGCTTCAGTATTCTCTTCTGTGGTTGCACGAGCTCGCATCGCTTGCGGGACCACCGTCCAAAATGACGCCGCTGCCCGGAGCTGGCCGCCTCGGTGACGCCCGCTCTGCAGCGCGTCCCTCCCGCCGGCCGGCTCACCAGTACGCCGGAGTCCGGCGTGCGGTCGCGCGGCACCAGACCGTACTTGCCGGCCAGCACGGCCGCCCGGTGCGCCGTCTCCGGGTCCAGCCGCTGCACGGCCGGCATCACCAGCGACCGGTAGAAGCGGGCATCGTTGCTCCACAGGCCGATGCCGTAGAAGGAGAGCGAGCCGCCGGCCGTCAGCAGCACCAGCGACCGCAGCCGCTCCTGCCACCGGCACGGACGTCATGAGTGGTGTTCTCTATCCGGGGGTCGGAGTTGGTGTCACTGAACTCCCTCTGGGGGGTGCTTATGCCGCTGTGACAAGGGCATCACCAGTCTGACTGTTAGGACCAGCTGATAGAGTTACGTCCAAACTGATGCTCTGTAGTTAAAGCAAACCAACCATATTGAAGCGCAAGAGGATCCTAAGAGAAGAGTCAAGGATCCTGAAACAGGACCCTTTCTTGTTGTCAAGGGTTTATGTTAAGATCCTGTCTCTTCCTCATGCCCACTCCATTTATTTTCTTACAGACTGTGCCCAAACTATCTATCTTCCCGGGCCTGTTAAAGCAGTGAGCTCACTGCTTATGGAGCAGGCGAAATGGCCTCGATCACTACATGATAGCATTCGGTGTTATATACTCACAAAAAGTGGTATGCCGTGTAAAAGTTGGCATGAGAGCATATCAGAAAAAGTGAAATTATGATAAGCCATAATATATCAGGTAGCAATGCCTCCAATGTCTGTGTGTGAGATGACAAATGTCAGTCAAACAAAATAATGTATGCAACACCCAGATGAGCATTGCACAAGTGCACGAATATTGGGCAGAGCCGGCGTAGGCCTCGCACTTACTGAAACGACCGGAATCTACTAAATTTAGTATACAAACCATGCAAAATTATTATCAGAAGATGCATAGGATATTTGAATAATACTTCTCGCACTCCTATGTGCCACATAATGGCAATGAATAGTGTTTCACCCCACAGATGTCTTCCAACTAGTTTGCATCGACCCACATATAACCACATACATAATATAACCACACATAACCCACACATATTTGCGGTGCAGCTGCTTACACATTAGGAGAATCTGAGTTACTCAGATCCGTGGGATGATTTTGCGAAGATAATGAAGTTCACCAGCACTTAAAGCTGATTGTACAGCGACGTCACAAAACCACAAAATCATTGTCAGCCTGGTGGTGGTTACATAGGGCACGGACCGGCCCGGCACCGTACAGGATCCGACGGTACGGGACAAAACCGGCGGGATCAGAGGGAACTGGAAGGTACTGCGGGACCGGACGCGATCAGACGAGACCGGATCACACCGGGTGGAACCGGACGGAACTTGTTGCGTCCAGACAGGACCGGATCGCACCGGACGGACTGGATCGGACCAAACGGGCTCGAAAGTGACCGAACGAAACCGGACGTGATCAGACGATATCAGACGCCACCGGCCGTGATCGATAGGCATCGGACGGGGCGGGACGGAGGATCACGGGCCTGGACGAGACCGGTCCGGGCCGAAGGAGGCGGCGCGGGACTGTTCACTGGGCGGCGCCCCATGGGACCTGACACCATGTGACAGGACCGGACGGAGCTACATGGGAGGGACTAAACGAAACTAGAAAGGACTGGACAGGATTGGGCGGAAAGAGGGGATCAGACCAAGCCAGACGGGACCGGGTGGAACCAGACGATACTAAACCGGACCAGACGGAATCAGACGGGGTCAGATAGGAGGGACCATACGGGACCGGAAAGGTCCAGAATATCCCGGTCTGGTCCATTCCTGTTCGGATTCCGACCGGTCCAGTTTTGATCCCGGCCGGTCCTATTTTGGCCACGGCCAGTCCATTCCAGGCTCCGTCCGATCCCTTTTCAGGTCCTGTCTAATCCCGTCGGACACCGTCTAGTCCTGCCCAATCCAGACTGCTGTTTGGTTCCGTGCGAACCTATCAGGTCTCGTTCAAATTCATTCGGTGCCGTCAAGTCCCTTCTTGTTCAATCGGGTTTCGTCCGGTCGCGCTCGGCCTCATCACGTTCCATCCTACTCTGTCTAGTCCCGTTCTGTAGCGTCCGGCTATTTTCGACCACGCCCGGTGCAGTTCAATTCTATCTGATTTTGTCCGGTCCCGTTTGGTCCCGTACTACGTCCAGTTCGGTCAGGTAACTCCTGTTCCCATCCTGTCTTGTCTGGTCCAGTTCGGTTCGGGTCCGGTTCCGTCCAGTCCCATCCCACCTCATCTTAAGCCATCAGATGACATCTAGCTCCATTTGGTCTGGTCTGGTCTGGTCTGGTCTGGTCTGGTCTGGTCTGGCACTGGTCTTATCTAATCTGATCTGATCTGATCTGGTCTGGTCTGGTCTGGTCTGGTCTCATTCCATCCAGTCCCATCTTGCCTCAAAATGTCTTATCTGGTCCAGTCTCAGACAGGACCAGACAGGATCAGACAATTCTGTCCCATTCCATCCAGTTCCATGTGGTCTTGTGTTCCACTCAGCTCCTTTCAGTAACATTTGGTGCAGTTTGATTCTGTCATGTTTGGTTAGGTCCCTTCTAGTTCTGTCTGGTCCAGTCCTATTCTGTGTTGAGCCATGTAACTAGCATCAGGCTGGCAGCAATTTTAGGATTTTGTGATGTTACTGTAAGATAGCTGGAAGTGATAGCAGCCTTCACTATCTTTAATGGTTGACTGACAACCACATTGCAGGTTTCTGTGTTGATTGAGGACAACTGGATGGGTAACAGCTACAAGGCAACATACTACTGATTGTCATTAAATGGCAGAGCTAACTGCAGGTACTAGAAGGGTTCAAAAATGTCGTGTGCATTTGCTATTTGCAAGGTGGGCATGACCAAATTTGCATGGCTTGCGTACTGAACTTAGCTAATTCAGGTCACTTTAGGAGGTGTGATGCCTTTGCCAGCAATCTAAAACATGGTACAAGGAAGGTTAATCCCAAACTCAACTTTAAGTCAGCTTAAATGTTTGTAAACAGTACCAAATTTTTGTCCCTCAGTGCATGCACACACTGAACATAGGTAAAACATGACTTGCCAAAGGCAAAATCACAGGTTATGGATGCCACCTTACATAACACTAAGTCCTGTGTTTAGCAGGAGTCAGCCATGTATTGCTTGCACATGCTTCAAACATTTTCTTGCTTCTTTGACATGCAAAAGTTTCCCATCCACATTTGCTCATTTTCAATGTAGGACATTATCAGTAAATGACATGAACACAAAGAGTCCCCCCCCCCCCACACACTGATTGAAATGCAGCAAATTGAAATGGGCAATCCGCCAAAAAGCTGAACTCACCTTAAGCTTGGGTGTAAAGATGTAACCAAGCCCTCGGAAAAAGAACGTATTTTTCGGTTGAAACATGTCTAGATATTGTGGGTGTGTATCGGCATTCGACAGTCTTTGTGCTCTCCCTGGAGAGCTCACCAGGGTAATGACTGAGGCGTTAAGTTTAGAACCAAACAGCCCCTCGGCAATAACTACTCATAGCACGTTAAAAAACAGCAGCCGCAAACAACGTCCGCGCACTTCGGAAATATTCAGCCCCTGACCAGGGAAATCTTGGCCCACGACACCCAATCCTCCCAGTATCTCCCGACGCCTGTTCAACGCAATCCTGGTCTCGACAGCACGTCCTCGAACCTGACACTCGTTAAATAACCGGCCAGACAGTACTGGCGCGTAAAAGACAAGCTCCATCGTAATTGTATGTTTAGCAGTGCACGTCAACAGACGATTACTTCAGCTCTTCCATTTGATTGAATAGCTTAAATTTTATTTTAAGTATTTTTGCGTGAGATATGATTGGTATATGAATCCAAGAAAAGGCTGCAAACCTCCCTATAAAAGTGTTGTTGAAATTGTCTTGATATATTTCGTTAGTGACGCACAAAAGACATTTACGCCAACAATCCAGAGTCCCTTCGTTCCTACGGGTTGGGGTTTGCTGTGTGTTGCATTTGGTTGTAACTAGTATGGCAACTGGAGGGCGTTGATAAGTTTTTCGGAGCAACGTGTGACTAAAATGCGGACTGTATTGATGGTTGCTGAGAAGCCGTCTCTGGCGGCATCAATATCAGCGATTCTCAGCAACCGTCAGTCTTCATCCAGGAAAGGTCAGTCCTGTTGCATGCGCACTCATACATGGGCGTTACCAGTCAGCGGTGCTTTTGGTCTAAACTGTCTGGTCCAGCATATGAAGTTGGTTCTTTGGATGGCTTTGGTTCCAAGAAATGTTGGCTACTAAAATGTTGGAAGTAAAAGACACAGGGATTTATTTTCAGATATTGTTATGACAAGCTTGATTGACACAAATTTTAAGTCATGCTGAGAATGATTCTGATTTTGGTCAGGGTTTGGCTGTTACCCAATGACTCAAATCATTGCAACTGATGTTTTTCAACCTTTGGGATGTCAAGCCACCGCACTATGGTTGTATTGCCTTGAGATAAAATGCAACAATTAGAAATGACCAATACCTAGTTATGCTTAATTGAGCTAACATATATGATAAATGTGTCCTTACCCTATTGAATGCTATCTTAGCATTACAGTATTGAGCCAGTGATGGCAGTGAATACCAGGGCTTTAAGTAAAATAAGATTTTGTGACATAACTTAAATAGAGAAGTAAACAAGTGATTTACAAATTGCTTATAATGAAATGATATAGTGATAAACCTGGATATCAAATACATTCTTGCATGATACAGATTCCTAATGTAGCATCTTGTAGCATCTGTCATTTGTGACATAAAATCACATACATTTGTATGAATTTAAGATAGATGAGGTCTGAAGGCAGAATGATCTTGTTCTCATTTGCAGGTTTTGTTTTCACTAAGATCTGCAACACTTTTTTACAAGGATCTGTCCTTAAGGGGTTGTTGGATAGGTTTCAAGCATTGCCCATCTTTTTTACAAACATTCACTATGATTTTTCATCTTTGCTCTGCTCCATTTAGTAGAATGACACACCATCTCATTGAAGAATGTCATGGCAATGGCAGAAGTTTTGCTGTGAAAGTTGTTTTGTGTGGGAGCTTTGATCCCTCCATCTTGTCACTCATGTAAGGAGCAATAGAGGGTTGTTGCTAGTACTGAACAAATTATCAGGCAGCTGCACCATCTGTTTTTTGTGTGTTATCAGTAATGGTTCCCAACACAGCTTTCATGGTATAGATCTAGATGTGTGCTAGTAGTGTTTTGGGAGTCATCCTAAACCATTCACCCATTCTCTTGGCTCATGTCATGTGTGTGGTCGTGGATGATTCATGAATGGTGTCATGTTCACAGGATCCAATGGAGTCTGCACAGTGCATGAATGGAATGGGAGCTTCCAGGGAGAAGCAGTCCGTTTCAAGATGACATCTGTGTGTGGTCATGTGATGTCGCTGGACTTCATTGGAAAGTACAACAACTGGGACCGTGTTGATCCAGTGAGAACCTGCATCACTGCACCTCTGGTCCCTCCATGTCTCCTTGTGCATGCTGGTATGCCTTGTTGTATCTACACAAGGTGTGTGAAATATTGATACTGTTTCACTCCTTATCAGTGCATGCTACTGCATTTTTGCTGGTGCACCACCTCATGCAAGCTCTCACAAACTGTTGAACTGCTTGCATCAACTTGTTTACCTACCAGCCTGACTCATATGTAATCACCTACCCATGTAATTACCTACCTGTGTAATCGCCTACCCATGTAATTACCTACCTGTGTAATCACCCACCATTGTGATCACCTACCTGTGTTATCACCTACCCATGTCATCACCTACCTGTGTAATCACCTACCTGTATAATCACATACCAGTGTAATCACCTATCTGTGTAATCACCTCCTGATGCAATCACCTCCCCATGTCATTACCAGCATCACCTACCTATGAAATCACCAACCTGTTAAATCACCCATGTTATCACCTACCTGTCCATCTATCCGAGCTGCCCCTTAGCGATGATTGTTCCTCCAGGCCGAGCTGTTCAACGCCGTGACGGAGAAGAAGGAGGCATCCGCCAAGATGCGCATGCCGGACTTCCTTGCGCGCGAGGCGCACGGCTGCGACTACCTGGTGCTCTGGCTCGACTGCGACAAGGAGGGCGAGAACATCTGCTTCGAGGTCATCGACGCCGTCCAGCGCAGTATGAACAGGCTACCCAACAGACAGGTGCGGATGGACGCCAGCAGGCTGTCGGCTGACTGCCGAGAGCGTAGCCAAACGTGCTGGATCTCTGCCGATGGACGCCAGCAGACTGTCGGCTGACTGCCGGGAGCATAGCCAAACGTGTTGGATCTCTGCCGATGGACGCCAGCAGGCTGTCGGCTGACTGCCGGGAGCATAGCCAAACGTACTGGATCTCTGCCGATGGCCACCGCAAGCGATCGGACAGATGAGGAGTTCATTACGCTGTGACGGCATGGTGTCCGGTTTGGGGCCGTGCTCCACGCTCCGTGGTGTTAGCTGGCATTCATCGACATGTGGGTGACGTTCTAGGTGGGGGTACTGTGACGAGAATACAGTGCTTTAGACCGTGACATTCGCCGAGCTGCCTGCGCTCACCAGTCGGTGTTTCCTGACCAGCCGGCTGTGCTCCGCAGACGGTGTTCCGGTCGCGCTTCTCGGCCATCACGGACCGCGACATCCGGGCGGCCATGAACAGCCTGGTGGAGCCCAACGAGAACGAGTCGCGCAGTGTGGACGCTCGCCAGGAGCTGGACCTGCGTATCGGCTGTGCGTTCACGCGCTACCAGACCAAGTTCTTCCAGGTGGGCGGGGCGCTTGGTCGGCTGTTGTTCTTGTTCCTTAGGATGTCCCTTCGTGGATGATTTGCTTTAGGTGTGTGTGCGTCGTTATTGTCGGCGCGCCTCCTGGGAATATGCCGAGCCATGTCGCCCCCAGAGCCTGAAGGGTTGGTTCGTGGTCTGTCAGGCTAGCTGTCGCATGTTATGGGTCCTTTACCCTAGCAGCCATCTCTGATTCTGTGTGAGTTGTCATTCGTGTCGCTTGTTTATCTGACGTGACGCAGTTATCCTGTTGGGCTTTGATCAGTTCGAACAGGCATCTCGCGTGACGACTCGCGTGAGCGGTCGAAAATCGGAATGCTAGTGACCGCATCATCTGCGCAGATCGATAAGGTATGCTTCTGTGAAAGCAAAGGCTACACTGAGGCAGACCCCGCGAGCCCAGTGTTCAGTGCTGACTCGGCAGGTGACGTCGGCCGGCAGGGTCGGTACGGGGACCTGGATTCCACGCTCATCTCCTACGGGCCCTGCCAGACGCCCACGCTGGGCTTCTGCGTGGAGAGGCATGATCAGATCCAGTCGTTCAAGCCCGAGCAGTACTGGAAACTGGCGGTACGCTCCGCACGTCGGTCGTGATTCATGTTTAGCGAATGCCTGCTCTCGTGGATAGTGGAGAGCAGCACGAACGGTTGCACTGTCACGGATTCTCGCACTGGTTCTCGGAGCCCCTGTACATGCTCAAACCTGGGATGTTCCTTTTGTGATTAACTCCGTCACAGGAGAGGTTTCTCAGTCAGAGAGGAGTGGCACAATTAACTCCGTCACAGAGAAGTGTCGTACGTTTGCGGGCTTAGACCTGCATTTCAGGTGGTGACATCTGTCGGCATCGCTGCTGAGCTGAAGCTCCACGAACCGGTTTTTTTCTGGTTGTGTTCACCATGCCGTCGGTTGGACAGGTCACGTGTGAGCTAGAGAATGGGCAGCAGCTGCACCTCGAGTGGGAACGGGTGCGCTGCTTCGACAAAGAAGTGGCCACGATGTTCCTCAACCAGATCAAGGACATCAAGACTACGGTGTAGGTGGTGCAGCCCGAGACCGATAGTGTCCTCGCGCGTGCACTATATTGGTATACTGGGAAGGCAGGGGTGGTGGTCTTGACGTACTGACGGAAAGCTATTGTTTGGAGGCCTTCTGTTAGCTGTTTTTCGTTTTTCTGGTTTCATTTGGCGTGGAAGACTGCGGTGCTAATGGGCGTCACAGTTGCTTGCGTCATAAGCTATACCGACGCCTGTCATAGTGATTGTTTCCAATTGTCTATCATTCGTCCCAATCGTACTCTCACCATCACCCTTAACATTGTCTTTGTGTTTAGGGTAGATGCGATAGAAAGGCTACTCTACCGCAGAAGAGACTAGGAAGGCCGCATGTAGTGTTCAAAGAGCTGTTGAATGGCCAGGCAGTCACATAATGAATATGAAGTGCGATTCATAAACACCACCACCCGTGTATCCCCTTCAGCGCTACAATTTGTGCTTTATGCTGACATTAATAACCATAATTGGTGCCGAGTGTTCCGTTAAGTAACTAAGTAGCTCCAGTATTGGAGGTGGGAAACCTCGTTATGCACGATAATCTGTGCCGTAAAACGACAATATTATTAGGAGACTCGCACTTCCTTCCTCGAAACTACAATCACAGTTTTGAACGGTCGTAATGTAGTCCAATATTACGACTAAGAACGCTCACTGACGGACCAGCGCACTGATCGCGCCCCGTCGCCCGTCTTCGGGACGTGTCGTGAGCCGACCGCGCTGCCGCCGCTGACACCGCCCGCTGACACCGCCCGCTGACACCGCCCGCTGACGCCGCCCGCTGACACCGCCCGCTGACACCGCCCGCTGACACCGCTCGCTGACACCGCCCGCCGCCGCCTCAGTGTGGACAGCGTGGTGAGCAAGGAGAAGACGAAGGCGCGGCCGCTCGCGCTCAACACGGTGGAGCTGATGCGCGTGGCGTCGTCCGGCCTCAACATGAGCCCCCACTACGCCATGCAGATCGCCGAGCGGCTCTACACACAGGGCTTCATCAGCTACCCGCGCACCGAGACCACCCACTACCCGGAGAACTTCGACCTGGTGTGAGTGGCGCCGACGTAGGCAGCGGCGCCGCTCGCTTCCGCCTGCAGGGACTGGGGCGTCTCTAGCGCGTGACGTGGACGGTCACGCAGCCGTCGGAGTCTCGCTTCGCCGAGACCGGAGCGCTTGGAGCTCTGCTGAGGGCGAGGTCAATGCTGGCGGAGGCCGTGATCGCCGCCTCGCCGTGGGTTGACCTCGACGCGGCTTCATGTTGACGGCGGTCCGTCCGCGGGCTTGTGCGCAGCGGCTTGTGTGTGACAGGTGGATGGGATCGGCCGCCGGCCCGCCTCCGTGTCCGTGTCGCCGTTCCCCTGGACGCCGGCCCGCCTCCGTGTCCGTGTCGCCGCTCCCCTGGGCGCCGGCCCGCCTCCGTGTCCGTGTCGCCGCTCCCCTGGACGCCGGCCCGCCTCCGTGTCCGTGTCGCCGCTCCCCTGGGCGCCGGCCCGCCTCCGTGTCCGTGTCGCCGTTCCCCTGGACGCCGGCCCGCCTCCGTGTCCGTGTCGCCGCTCCCCTGGACGCCGGCCCGCCTCCGTGTCCGTGTCGCCGCTCCCCTGGACGCCGGCCCGCCTCCGTGTCCGTGTCGCCGCTCCCCTGGGCGCCGGCCCGCCTCCGTGACCGTGTCGCCGCTCCCCTGGGCGCCGGCCCGCCTCCGTGACCGTGTCGCCGCTCCCCTGGGCGCCGGCCCGCCTCCGTGTCCGTGTCGCCGCTCCCCTGGACGCCGGCCCGCCTCCGTGACCGTGTCGCCGCTCCCCTGGGCGCCGGCCCGCCTCCGTGTCCGTGTCGCCGCTCCCCTGGACGCCGGCCCGCCTCCGTGACCGTGTCGCCGCTCCCCTGGACGCCGGCCCGCCTCCGTGTCCGTGTCGCCGCTCCCCTGGGCGCCGGCCCCGCCTCCGTGTCCGTGTCGCCGTTCCCCTGGACGCCGGCCCCCCTCCGTGTCCGTGTCGCCGCTCCCCTGGACGCCGGCCCGCCTCCGTGTCCGTGTCGCCGCTCCCCTGGACGCCGGCCCGCCTCCGTGTCCGTGTCGCCGCTCCCCTGGACGCCGGCCCGCCTCCGTGTCCGTGTCGCCGCTCCCCTGGGCGCCGGCCCGCCTCCGTGTCCGTGTCGCCGCTCCCCTGGACGGCCGGCCCGCCTCCGTGTCCGTGTCGCCGCTCCCCTGGACGCCGGCCCGCCTCCGTGTCCGTGTCGCCGCTCCCCTGGGCGCCGGCCCGCCTCCGTGTCCGTGTCGCCGCTCCCCTGGGCGCCGGCCCGCCTCCGTGTCCGTGTTGCCGCTCCCCTGGGCGCCGGCCCGCCTCCGTGTCCGTGTCGCCGCTCCCCTGGACGCCGGCCCGCCTCCGTGTCCGTGTCGCCGCTCCCCTGGACGCCGGCCCGCCTCCGTGTCCGTGTCGCCGCTCCCCTGGGCGCCGGCCCGCCTCCGTGTCCGTGTCGCCGCTCCCCTGGACGCCGGCCCGCCTCCGTGACCGTGTCGCCGCTCCCCTGGACGCCGGCCCGCCTCCGTGTCCGTGTCGCCGCTCCCCTGGGCGCCGGCCCGCCTCCGTGTCCGTGTCGCCGTTCCCCTGGACGCCGGCCCCCCTCCGTGTCCGTGTCGCCGCTCCCCTGGACGCCGGCCCGCCTCCGTGTCCGTGTCGCCGCTCCCCTGGACGCCGGCCCGCCTCCGTGTCCGTGTCGCCGCTCCCCTGGACGCCGGCCCGCCTCCGTGACCGTGTCGCCGCTCCCCTGGACGCCGGCCCGCCTCCGTGTCCGTGTTGCCGTTCCCCTGGACGCCGGCCCGCCTCCGTGTCCGTGTCGCCGTTCCCCTGGACGCCGGCCCGCCTCCGTGTCCGTGTCGCCGCTCCCCTGGACGCCGGCCCGCCTCCGTGTCCGTGTCGCCGCTCCCCTGGACGCCGGCCCGCCTCCGTGTCCGTGTCGCCGCTCCTCTGGGCGCCGGCCCGCTTCTGTGTCCGTGTCGCCGCCCCCCCCCCCTCCCTGCCCCCTGCGCGTCGGCGGGCCACGCTGACTGTTGCCCCCGGGCGTCGCGCAGGGGCACCCTCCGCCAGCAGCAGAGCAGCTCGGTGTGGGGCTCAGAGGTGCGCGCGCTCCTCGCGCAGGGCATCAACCAGCCCAAGAAGGGCGTGGACGTGGGTGACCACCCGCCCATCACGCCCATGCGGCTGGCCACCCCGCAGCAGCTGGAGGGAGACGCCTGGAAGGTGTACGACTATGTGGTGCGCCACTTCATCGGTGAGCTGGCCGACGTGGCGCGGTGTGGCCTTTCCGACAGCGCCGTGCTCATAAGTTCGCTCGGTCGACACAATTATGTGTTTATGCTTAGCAAGTTTTTTTTCTACCGGCGGCGTAGCGCGCTCATGGCGCAGTTAATCGGTACTTTTTGACCCACGTGAAACTACGTTGCGTACGCTAGCAACGTGATGCAACGGCTGTAACGCAGCCTCGTACATGCTTGGCACAGTATCACGCCGTCGAAGCGACGCAGAGCGTGCTCGACCGGTCGTCCAGCTGGGTCGCGTACGCCTCCCTTTGCCCGCCGTGACCCCGCCCCCCCCCCCGTGCTCCCTCGCCATGACCCCGTCCCCCCCCCGTGCTCCCTCGCCATGACCCCGTCCCCCCCCCCTCCGCAGCGACGGTGCACCGTGACTGTCGTTACCTGAGCACCACGGTCGGCGTCAGCGTGGGCGCCGAGAAGTTCAGCGTGACTGGGGCACGGGTCATCGACCCCGGCTTCACCGAGGTCATGGACTGGCTGGCCGTCGGCCGCCAGGAGGCGCTGCCTGACGTGCAGAAGGGCGACCGGCTCACGGTCGCGTCGGTCAGTGCGGGGACATGGAATGGCGGGGTGGAGCGGTCGCCTCGTGCGGCTCGTTTAGCGACGCGAGAGGCGACTGTCGGTGGCGCTGCGTCGTGTCGATCGTTGTCAGGGAACGCGAGCGGAGCTGCCGCCTTCACTGGCGGCTGACGCTGCGGTGGGTTGTCGGAATGATGTTGGGGAACCCGGTTAAGTTGAGAGATGCTGAGTTGGGGAATGATACCGTCGTGAGCCTTTTTGGGGATAGCGCGCCATGCGGCATTGGTGCTGGGCTGTTGTGACCAGCTGAGCGTGCCTCACCCACAGTGGCTTCCGTCATGCAGTCTGTCCTCTGTCCTCTCTGACCGTGGTGGGACTGGCATTGGCTGAAATCCATTGGGGTCATCTTACATGCTTTCCGGGGGCTGGGACCCCTCACATCAGCTCAGTGCTTGTATGGAATCTAAGACGAGCGTGACAAGAATCGCTCTCAAACCCCGGCCCCGCCCCCTCACACTGTCTGAGCCTGCCCGACCCCGTGGTGAGAGTCGGTGCCAGCTGTGACGCGTCGGCGGCCGCCGGCCGTGCCGCAGGTCCGGTTGACCGAGCACCTCACCTCCCCGCCCGGCTACCTGACCGAGGCGGAGCTGATCACGCTGATGGAGAAGCACGGCATCGGCACCGACGCCTCCATCCCCGTCCACATCAACAACATCGGCCTGCGCAACTACGTCACCGTCGAGACGGGCCGCCGCCTCGTGCCCACCACGCTCGGCATCGTGCTCGTGCACGGCTACCAGAAGGTGGGCCGCCGATGTGGGCCGTCGGCCACGCTGGGGGAGGAGGGGGGGGGGGGGGGGGGCGCAGAGTGGGAGTGCTCGGCGTCGGGCAGACGGTCGATACTGGTCCCGACCTGGCTTCACTTCCTCGCCTCGGGACACAGGGTCACTGTAAGCGGCAGCCATGCGGCCGCCGCGGAGTTGCACTGCCGCTGTTCCGCGGCGGCCGCGGTGGTGTTCGATCTCGCGGCGCGCCGTCCCGGCCGGTGCTCCTCCACCGCGCCCCGCCTCGTCGCGTGCCGAGCACGCCCCGGCGTGTCCACGGTGGCATCGTCTGTGACGCGGCGCCACCGTTCCAGACCGACCCGGACCTGGTGCTGCCGAGCATGCGCTCCGCCGTGGAGCAGCAGCTGAACCTGATCGCGCTCGGCCGCGCCGACTACGACGCCGTGCTGCGGCACACGCTCGAGATCTTCAAGATGAAGTTCCACTACTTCGTCAAGAACGTCAACAGCATGGACCAGCTGTTCGAGGCGTCGTTCTCGCCGCTGGCCTCGTCCGGCAAGCCTCTGTCGCGGTGAGCAGCGCGGCCGCGTGCGTGCCAGGTGCACGCTTTGGGGTTGGCAGACTCTCGATAGGCGATACGCTGCGTAAAGGCCGTTCAGATGCGCTGCATGCTGAAACGGGTCAGGGTGGGGCTGTTAGTATGGAGGCAAGGGCAAGCATTGAATTAACCACGTTAATTATCAGTCCTAGTTCTTTGCTGTCGTAGAGCTGTCACAGCGTCTTATTGCCGCGCTTTGGCAACAGTTCATGCCGTTCGGCTATGCTACTCGTTCACGCCGCGCTCGCTGAGCGTGATCTGACCCCTCGGTAGGTGCGGCAAGTGCCGGAGATACATGAAGCTGGTGGAGACGCGACCGCAGCGCCTGCACTGCACCCACTGCGGCGAGACGTTCTCCCTGCCATCTGACGGGGTGGTCCGCATCTACAATGAAGCCAAGTGTCCGCTAGATGACTTTGAGCTGGTCGTGTGGTCGGGCGGCAAGAAGGGTCGGAGTTTCGTGCTCTGTCCTTACTGTTACAACCACCCGCCGTTCAAGTAAGCGGGGTGCGGTTAACATGGTGTGAATGGAGCTGAATGGAGCTGAATGGAGCTGTGTAGTGAATAGAGCTGTGTGTGAATGTGCTGAATGCCTGTTAATGTAGTGAATGGAGCTGAATGCCTGCGTCGAAGTCAGTACGGGACTAGCTTGATTCAAGATTATGTTGTGTGATGGTAGTCGATTATGACGCTTCATTTGCCATGTAAAGGTAGATGATGACGCTTGATTTAACATTTAAAGGTCAGGTATGTTCCTCCAATTGGTATGCTTAGTCAGTTACGTTTTGGTACTGTTGGTTTCAAGTTTGATTATTCATCCACCGACCTGTGTATCTGCCTCGTTAGTGCTGTGAATCAAAGGCTGCTTCGCACATCTAGCCGGCGCGCGGTCGGCAATCGCCGATGTTCTCTGCGTCTGCGGCCGTCCCTCGTCCCGGCCGTCGGTGCCCGCCGGTGTCCGCCGCGATCCGCCGCTGCCTGTGCGGCTGTCTCACGTGCCGAGTGTCCGTGTCCGCTGATGTCAGCCGCCATCCCCCGCCGCCTGTGCGGCCGTCTCTCGTGCCGAGTGTCCGTGTCCGCTGATGTCAGCCGCCATCCGCCGCCGCCTGTGCGGCCGTCTCTCGTCCCGAGTGTCCGTGTCCGCTGATGTCCGCCGCCGCCCGTGCGGTCGTCTCCCGTCCTGGCCGTCCATGTCCGCCGGTGTCCGCCGCGATCAGCCGCTGCCTGTGCGGCTGTCTCTCGTGCCGAGTGTCCGTGTCCGCTGATGTCCGCCGCCGCCTGTGCGGTCGTCTCTCGTCCTGGCCGTCCGTGTCCGCCGGTGTCCGCCGCCGACGGGCGCCGTCCGTGCCGCAGGGACATGGGCAGGGGCAGCGGCTGCAACAGCTGCTCGCACCCCAGCTGTCGTCATGGGCTCAGCGTGAACGGCGTGTCGGCGTGCGTGGCCTGCGAGCGCGGCGTGCTGGTGCTCGACCCCGCCTCGGGACCCAAGTGGAAGCTCGTCTGCAACAGGTGAGGCCTCTGCCGCCCGGCCGGGCCTGTGTGCGGGCCCGAGCGGGGTGTTGCCGTCAGGAGGTGCTCGCGTGCTTCCACTCTGTGTGGAGAGTGATGTCGCTCACACTGTAGGGGTACAGCTACGTCAGTTAACGCGGGATTGCCGTGTTTGACGTGTGTCTATTGGGAGAGCGTTTTAAAGTGAGAGAAGTGACAGCTGTTTTGATCTGAGTGTATGTAAGTTTTCGCTGGACTGCTTAGTCTTCAACTGTCAATCAGGTATCCGTGATATTAAGACGCTGGCGTTGGAACATCTTTGATTGAGGTTAACTGGATGGCCGTGTCTGCCCATGGGCACAACTCAATACTAATGTAAAACGTCGTGCCAAATTTCTGCTTTCCGTTGAGGCATAGATTCAGCTGAGCGCCTATTGGTAATCTGGCAATTTTTGCATTTACATAGCACTGGCTTATACATCATTTCTGGTATACGGAGAGTATTGGGCGCGTTTGGCGCCATCTGTAGCCCATTCCGCGCGTATTTCAGGTGTGACGTCATAATCAGCCTGTTCGACCAGGCGGTCAAAGTGAGCGTTCTGCCAGGCGTGTGCGGATCCTGCGGCGCCTGCAACGTCAAGGTCGAGTATAAACAGGTCGGTGCAGGGCGCGGAGAGGGTCGCGCCGCCATGAGCGATTGTCATGGGGCGTGTCACACACGTGTTTAGCGTATCCGGACTATCGGACATATCGAGTGTCTGTGCTGGTGTAAGACGTTAACAGTGCCGGATAAGCCGTGCAGATTGGCAAGGTCGTGCCAGGCTGAGCGCAGTCTATAGAGGGCTAGTGCACGCAGTCAACTGCCCTGTCAGGTATGTAGTACTGATTGAACTGACTTGGCTCGGTATGTCCATTTAAAGGGAGTGTTCCGCGTTTGAATGGGGCTTTGGACTGGAGTAGCCACCTTAAAGATCATTCGGTGCAGGTCACAGCCCTGTCCTTCTTAAAACGTAAATCCCTCTGGTTTCTTAGCTATACGCCCGCGAAGATCTGCAGACTGTGCGGGGAGACTATTTCAAGTTCACCCAGGCATCCTTGACGCCATGATAACGTCATTCAAATCCTACTATTACATAAGCCATGTAATGGCGGGATTTCAATCGGCGATCAAGGCCAAGACAAGCACAATTGTCGAGTTGCTCATGTATGGTTTTCATGAGATCGCATTCCAGATATAATGGCCTTCCATGGGCTCCCAATCATTGTTCAAGTTACGCTGACATACTTAAACAATGACGTATTTAGGAGCATACAGATAAGCAGAGAAATTGTGTTATTGAGAGCAGTTTTTTCCACACAAAAATATGCCAATAGTTATAAGTGGGCTTATTTCATACCTGATGTTGACTACAATATCCTCAAATGTGGAGCATTCCCATTAAGGATTCAACTTGCCGAGTCACTGCGTGTTATCGATAGCTCTCCCTGTTCTCAGTATTGTGGATGTCAAGTACCGTACGTGGCTGCTCTATGCGTCAGCGATGTCTGTGCGCTGTGTTTACCCGGATGTGAATATCTTGTGGTATCCCAATGACTGCTACTACCACTACGCTGGTTCCGTTCAGCTCGAGTGTGTTTGTCGTCTCCCCGTTTAGGTGCAGGTGCGAAGTAGTTCGATTTCTACAGTGCAGTCTTGGCTGAGCGTGCATGGTGCTGCCAGGCATCTCGCTTCTTGATTATCACCGACGATTTGGAGACTGATTCGGCAGTGAGTGGGCCGCTGCCCGTAGTGTGGTGCAACCGAACGCCTTTGTTGGCAAAGAACTGTGCTTTATCTCGGTTGGATGGCAAGTAGTCCATGTAACCGAGTCGAACTCACGTGGGCTGCTCACGTACCGCGTTCCCCGTGCCATCAATTTCAAACCCCTTGAGACCTCTTAAGTGAGTAACGATCTTTTTCGCCTCACTCATAACTGAGAAGCCTCAGGTTCTCGCCCCATCACCGCCATATTTCACTGTCGTGCCCCGTCGCCCGCGGCGTCCGCAGGCGGGCGCCGTCCGCCGCCTCACGCCGTCCGCGCCATCGCCAGGAAAAGTCGCGTTTGCCGGACAAGGCGACGCAGCTGGAGGGTTGCGTCTTTTGCACGGAGGGTCTGAGCCAGCTGGTGCAGATGAAGCACGCCCAGCGCACGACCAGCCGGCCGCGGGGCGGCCAGCGGGGCCGCGGCCGCGGGGGCGCCGAGCCCCGCCAGCCGCGCGACAAGATGGCCGAACTGGCCGCCTTCTTCATGTGAGTCCGGCTGCCGGCCGGCGCGTGAGTCGCGGCGGCGATTGGAGCCTCGCGTGGGGACCCGGCGGGTGGCGCCGGTGGCCAAGGCCGCCTGCTGGCGCTGGCCGCTATTCATCGGTCTCCGACCGGACTTTTGACCATTGAGACCGGCCGTCCGGACCGCGGCCTGAAAGGTCAGGCCGCGGCCATGTGCTGTAATTACACTGCCGGCGATGGCTCGCCGCTCCTGTTGCACTCTTGTACCGTTATCTGCGGGGAGTAATGTTTTTAACGGAGGTCGAAGACTAACGCGCTGCCACGTGCTGCTTGCTGCGCATGGACCGTCGAGGTTGGACATCCTCCGCTTATTTCACGGTTTTGTAACCGTGTTGTTGTTAACTTGTGATATTATGCACGACTAATGTCTGCATAACGACAGTCCCCTTGGGACAATACAAGCTTTTGCACCATTTTTGGATTACGGAACCACAGCCACACAGAATCATCGGACAGACATAACAAGCAGCCCACCCGAGGGGAAGGCGCGTATTAAAGATCGATATGGACATGCCTGCCCAGATACTTGTTGGGTCCGACAGTGACAGCGTTGCCAATTCTTCCCCAAAGCTCAGATTTTTCGCTTGACCTAGCGACTTCCGCTAGATTCCGCCATCGGAATTTTGCGATCTGTCAATATTTTGTACACCAAATTTGCCTGGACAACTGTGTTTTGTTTCCGTCCGTCGAAATATGTGTTTAGTATTGTTTCTGCAGCCCACCGTCCTTAAAAGTGAACTTTTGTGGGTAATCCCATGGTGAACATCGCGGCGTATGGACAACACGGTGACCTTGGCCGTGAAATCATGATTCCGAGACTTAACCTCGTTTGGGTTTCCCCGGAGACTGCGACGCCGATGACCATAAGAGCTGCCCGCGTCACGAAGGGCGAAAACGCATCAGGTACACATTGAAATGACTACCGTCGCGCGAACTCCAAGGCACGTCGTCTGACGCGGTGACAAGCGGCGAGCGGAAACTATGATATATTGTCACGTTCTTCGACAGTTGCTATTACGGACGAACCATGGGCATAAAGGAGACCTTGGGTTTACTGAGTTGCACAGCCGTACGTACCAACCAATCAACCCTTAACAGCGACATTACATGGCTCAGCGGCTCCACGAGGATCGCCTGCGGTGTGTGATCATCACGCGGTCTTGGCTCGCTGATTGGGATGCGTAAAACATGCACCAGCCCAACCTAACACGACTGGGCTGCAAGAGTCAGGGTTAGGATGTGACTCAATCGCAGACGTGGCGGTGAACAATAATTGATCGACTAACTACACCCGAGTTAAAATGGTTCGCTGCCGAAAAGACAGTTTGTTTCTAAGTACACGAACGGGATAAAATATTATAAGGAGTCCAGGGCCGTTTGACCGAAATATGCAGCACCGCACGGGTACTGCAAGAGTACGTTGGAAGGCTGAGCGCGTGACCCTCAGTCCCTCTGAACGACCTAAAAACCAACTAAGATGAACTATGAGAAGAAAACCGAGAGCTAGGGGAGCGTCATATGAGCATTGATCTGAAGGGGGGGGGGGGGTGGCGCAAGTAAGGTGAAGTAATGCCACAGGACAAATTTGTTTTTTGTCTTCAAAGTGCGCGAAAAACGATGCACGACGGAAGCATGATCATAAGGACTGACGAGGTTTAACGAGGTCATGTAACCGGTGTAAGACGCACAAGTGGTCCATGGATGACATTAAAAATTAAGATAGCAGTGCTGTGATTCCTTGATAATAAATGCATTACTTACAATGCCGTCATGTTAGCCTTTCCCTGCATTCCATTATGAACAGAAAGAAACTGATTCGAACAGAAAAAAAAACTGAACAGTCCTCTGAGCAAGGCGCTTCACGCTGGAGCGAATTGGCCTTTCGATGAGCGTCACGGAAACATGCTGCAAACACTACGACGCTTGAAGGGCTGCACGCAGGGATGTTCTCTCTCGGAAAGGATGCTGCTGATAGCTAATACTTCCAAAGTCTCGTGCTTGAGAACTTGGATTGCACTCTCGAACGAAAGCACTAGGCGTTGAGCCTTCTTCAAAAACACACGAGCTAGTTTTTGCCCAGCTAATATCTGACACGAAACGTTTTCGCTCGAGGATTGCATTTCCGTAGCCGAGCTCCCTAGCTCACGTGAGTCCAGTCACGCATGTGATGACGCGCTTCCTCTAACGTCAGTGCTCCGTATCCATGGCGGCCAGGTACTTCTCTTCAATCAGCGTTCGGGACCAAACGGTGTCTGTAAACAGGCGCAGCAGGGTGCTATTGATAAGCATCGTCCCGTGATGGGTGGCAGGAGGCGAACGCATTCAGTGTAAAACATTAGAGTCTGTGCAATCTGGTTCGAGGTTCTCCACCTAAGAAAAAACGTCGCAAAAATCGAATAAGACAGCAAGGCATGCATGTTTTAACGCTCTAGGATGTTTGATTCGTACATCCGATGCCAAACTATGACGGTTGCTGAGAGATCACTCAAATGAAATAGCTTCTTTTTAAAGATTGATCCGAACCCTTTGAATGAATAAGTTTCCGGGATTACAGCTCACGCTAGGCGGTGATTTGTTGTTGTGAGCCCTGATCCCTACCATCCGATCGCGCAATTCCAGGCAGCCGGTAGAATTTAGTGGCGAAATTTTTTAACGTGCCGCAGTGCTCGGCATAGTCCGTACCTGCCGTGTGACGTCAACTAATATTTAGCGCGACCCGCTGCCACCGGCCGCAAGCCATAGCAGTCAAGGGCAAAATAGCGAGCGCCTACAGCGACTCGAACTCCCCCCCCCCCCCCTTCCACGGTTTGAGAGGACTAGGAGGGCAGGCGCTCTAACCAGCTGAGCCACCGGTTGCGACGGGAGGACATGTCGGGACGGACGGGAGATCTATCTGGTTCGCAGTGCGATCATATCCGGTCCGCCCAACGCTAAACACTTAATGATGTCAACCCAGTCAGTCCTGGCGTCCGAACGGCCCAGCCGGCTTCATCTCCTACCTGATGGGTAGCAGGAAGCAGCAGCCAGCACCGGGAAGAAGGTCTTCATGTAAGCCCAGGGCGAGAAGCCGAATGGCAGAGGATGCAAAGCTGCACCACCTGGCAGCCGGTGAAAGATGTGGATCTTGCGCTGCGGGCACTCGCCGGATATGTAGTGGTTCGGCGGGTACGCACCTAGCGGCAGCAACCGGCGCAGGGTTAGATCGCAGACCCACGCTCCGCCAGTCCGGGACTGGCGGCCGCGTGAGGCCGTACTCCCGGCCATGGTAGAGGCCATAGCCCGGGCCAGGGCTGGGACCGCACACCCGGCCAGGGCTGAGGCCGTAGCCCCGGCCAGGGCTGGGACTATACACCCGGCCAGGGCTGGGACTGTAACCCCGGCCAGTGCTGGGACCGCACACACCCGGCCAGGGCTGGGTCGCGAGCGAACTTCATACAGTCCTGCGACTCGGAAGGGCACGGTTCAGCACTTGGGCGTGAGCGCTCAGGACAGCGTCGCGTACAGGGTGACACGTAATCTGGAGCATCATGGCGCCCGTAGATCGGGGCATCCAGTTTGCATTAGCGCCCATGTCGTAGAAGTTGAGTTCCAGATATGATATTTAGCAGGGGTGAGAATCATTGACATTCTTGCTTTATATGGATGGGGATGTTTGTCGTACACGATGCGAAATTCGCCTACATCAACGCACGAAGGCTGTGATGTCATTTATCCCTCGGACATTCCAACACGACTTTATCACAATATTTATATGACCTCATGCCTTGTCAATCGCAACACGAAAACGCACAACCACCCCTTTTTTGACGTCCGCAAACCCGTGAAATCTTCGACCCTTTCCCATGTCCTGTCCCGCATATCAGCCTTTCTTTCCTCGTTCTTTCTTCATCCGGCATCCTCGCGATGCACATTAACCAGGTCAGGCTGCATGCGCCATCAGAGAGTGGGGCCCGTGGTGGGGCCCGTCCGAGCGCCGAGCGCATACGCCGCGCAAGGGGTCCTCTGTGCGGGCTAGGCTAGGTGGAAGCCCCCCCACCAGCCCCCCCAGTTTGCAGGCAGCCTTTTCCACCGCTATCCACTCTCCTTCACCCCATAGACCTGAAAAGGTCATTCTTGGCCGAAAGGAGCATTTCTGGTTCTAACCCAAGCCAAACCAAGAACGCTGGCCGCACAGTTGGTCACCAGCCAGCGTGTGACGCCGCTCGCCACCGCACGAACCGCTTGCACCGGCCGCACCTGCTCAGTGAAGAGCAGTGTGATGCGCTCGAACATCTGGTTGCCGTTGAGCGCGGTGATGGCCATGTAGAGGAAGAGGCCGCTGAGCACCGGCGGCGGGATGTACGACAGCGGGTACGGCAGCAGGAACACCGACAGGCCGATCAGCACGTGCGACAGGATGCCGGTGACGCGCGTCTCGCGCACCTTGACGATGCTGCAAGGCCAGGGACGTGTCAGGGCGCTCCTGGCCGGCTGCTAGGCTCGGTCTGGCGCTGCGTGACTGCGCATCTGTCGAGTCCTGAGCCTCACATGGTCAACCAGGCGATAGCGATGCGCCGAGGGGTTTTTGCTGGCTTGCAATGACAGGAAAAGACCTTGTGGAGTAACGTGGACGTAGGTTGTACGCAAGGACTAGTTTCGCCGAACAATGGCATATTTTTGCATTGTTGTGGCAGTGCCTTATTTATGATACGATTCGCCCGAGGTTTTCTTTAGATAATACCTATGAACAAAAAGAAACTGGCACGCAATCACTTCTGCGTAATTACCCGGCCAGTTACGTTCCTGATTTTTTACAAGGCAAACACAACTAACGAAGGTCATCCAGCTGGTACAGGCCGGTACTGTACACAACGCGCACCAGCCGGTTGGCGTCCACACCAACACGGCTGGCGGCCGTCGCTCTGCGCCTCACATTTCGTAGACGTGGCCCTGTTCGATGCGCTCCTCGACGTCAGCGAGACTGCGCACGTGCAGCGGCGAGTGCGGGATGGCCGCGTGCATCCACGGCAGACCGAACACGGACAGCAGGCCGTTGAGCAGCGCCACCACCATCAGGTCCAGGTGGTAGGCCGGCCCCTTCTTCAACCTGGTGGCGTCGGAGGGCGTTAGGGCCGAGGCGTGCGCGAGAGGGGCGGGGGCCCTCGCGTGTCCTGGCTGGGACGGTAGCTCTGGTGCAATGTGCCGCGCGCGCTGGTTCGGTGACGATCTGGGGTCTGGACCGACGGCAGGAATCCGTTTCCAGCTCACAGGATGGGATGGGGATAGGAAAAGAAGATGGGACTGGGTGGGTCTGGAGCAATGGGTTCCTGTGAGAACAGGAGCCTGTACCCCGGAAATAACGGATTTGAGATGAAGTTTTGGGTCTAGCATAAGGAGTAAACGTCACTATAGACGTCACAAACATGGCGGATAGCATCACGTCAACAACCTGTTCTCGCTCAGCATTGCACAACGTTGCCTGGATATAAGAGTCCGGTTTTCGTCTGGGCCACCGGCTCCGGTTTTTTCTGGTCAGAGTT